TCTAATGAGTATGTAGGGCATGCTTTGGATCCTGTTTAGTCTAATGAGTATCTAGGGCATGCTTTGGATCCTGTATAGTCTAATGAGTACCTAGGGCATGCTTTGGATCCAGTATAGTCTAATGAGTATCTAGGGCATGCTTTGGATCCTGTATAGTCTAATGAGTATCTAGGGCATGCTTTGGATCCAGTATAGTCTAATGAGTATGTAGGGCATGCTTTAGATCCAGTATAGTCTAATGAGTATCTAGGGCATGCTTTGGATCCAGTATAGTCTAATGAGTATGTAGGGCATGCTTTCGATCCAGTATAGTCTAATGAGTATGTAGGGCATGTTTTGGATCCAGTATAGTCTAATGAGTATCTAAGGCATGCTTTCGATCCAGTATAGCCTAATGAGTATGTAGGGCATGTTTTGGATCCAGTATAGTCTAATGAGTATCTAGGGCATGCTAAGGATCCAGTAATGAGTATCTAGGGCATGCTAAGGATCCAGTATAGTCTAATGAATATATAGGGCATGCTTTGGATCCAGTATAGTCTAATGAGTATGTAGGGCATGCTTTCGATCCAGTATAGTCTAATGAGTATCTAGGGCATGTTAAGGATCCAGTATAGTCTTATGAGTATATAGGGCATGCTTTGGATCCAGTATAGTCTAATGAGTATATAGGGTATGCTTAGGATCCAGTATAGTCTAATGAGCATATAGGGCATGCTTAGGATCCAGTATAGTCTAATGAGCATATAGGGCATGCTTAGGATCCAGTATAGTCTAATGAGTATATAGGGCATGCTTTGGATCCAGTATAGTCTAAGGAGTATATAGGTTCATGCTCAGGATCCATTATATTCTGCGTAGTTATATACAGCCACGATCATGAATTGAATTCTATCGTCTATTTCATTGTGCACGATAAGTGGCAAAGAACAATGAAGAACGAAGCGTGGTTTATAACACGATAACACATTGTTCTATCATGACGTCATTTCTGGAGATTCGAACATGTGATCGCATCTAGATGACGTCCTAAATAGGACGACGTTATTTTTGAGAGGGAAATGTCTATTGAATTATTCCCCATAGATGAGCTGGACAGCGCAAATAAACGCAATAGCCGAACGATCGCACCCGGAAGTGGGTGAGATATGACAATCGATATTGGGAAAAAGGTGCAGATATTCGACATGAAAAGTTTGAGAATACCCAACTTAACCCCCCTGTTCATGAAATGGAGTTGCCGAGGTCGGACCGTCTTCCCGAGACAAGAGAGTTTACTGACTTTTAAAAGTCCAGTTCCCACCCTTGCTGAACTAGGCTGGAATTCCTGGGCTCGATCGTAGCGTCACCAGAGGTTTTTATGAGTTATGTCCCTTCTGAGCCTCTCCTATTGACCAATCCGATTCAATCACTCGCATTTGTTTCAAACAAAATGGCGGCTTACAGTCAAGACGATCTGATCGATAATCAAGATCTATATTGTGATAAAACGGGTCTTACATCGCGAAGTGCATCAAATCAAGCGAGTACCTTGATTAAAAAAATGAAAAGGTTTGGAAAATATCTGTTGACAACGAGTTGGCGGTGCACATGCTTGGCAAATCCTGCAATCGACCGAAATCTGCACGACAGTTAAGGAACCGGATTTCGATTTCGTTGCGAGATTTTGATTGGACTGTGCATGGACTCGTTAGTCCAGCCAAAATGTAACTCCATAATACCAGCCTAGTTCGGCAAGGGTAGAAACTGGACTTTTATAGTCAGTTAACTCTCTTGCCTCGGGAAGATGAGGTCGGACTGTATTCGGGGAGTCATCATTATGTAGATACGGGTAAATGTTTTTAATGCTTGTACAATTTATTGACATCCTTAAAGAGGAGTACAAAATATTGATATCTCAACATCATGGTTTATTCTCCCTTTAGTGTTTTATTGCACGATAAGCCGCCTCCGTGGTCTTGTGGTAGAGCGCCCGCCCGGAGAGCGGAAGGTCCGGGGTTTGATCCCCGACCGAGTCATACCAAAAGACGTTAAAATATGGTACTTGTTGTTACCCTGTCTGGCGCTCGGCATTAAGGGGCTAAAACAAGGACTGGTCGGCTCGGAGTCAGTATACTGTGTCTGAGTGGGGTATTCATGTTAAACTGCGGCATGGTATCTCAGTGAGCTAGCACTATAAATCGGCATCAGTCCGGACTAGTACAAGCAGCCACACACACACACACGTGCATGCACGTCGCTATATAAGTACAATAATCTTGGACGCGACGTTAAACCCAATTTCACCTCACCTATTGCGCGATAAACAACTCCCACTGGTCGTCAATTTCTTAAGTAAACACACAACTGAGACTACATCGTGGTTTCGGTAGGAAGGTACATGTCAGCGTTATCACTTGATACTGTAAAGTAAAGGGCAACATTGTCTTCATCAATACCAGCCAAAGGTGGGCGGAAACAAATACTTACTATCAAAGTTGACTATTTTTATGTAAAATATATCTTATCGAATTGTCATCATTTATTTTAGTGTATAAGAAATCACTTCATTATCACGTCTATTCCTTGGACGTCGAACACAACAGGCTATGACCTAGGCGAGGTACACTGAATATAGAAATACACTCAGGGTACGTTTTTACCCGGTACTGGCCTTCCTGCAGAGACAAGACGCTAGCACTTCTCAGGAGGCATTTGTCTATAGATTCATCCCTATATTTGTTCAAAGGTTCATATTTCAGGACATGAAAATTTATATATCACGCCCGGTGAAGTTTTGAAAGCTCTAATCATGTTGTGTACACAAGTATATGAAGTGTGTACCGTCATTTGGGCGTACAGGTCGCGGTGGAGGGGACGGCTAAACCATGGCCGTCTGTCAGAACCCGATCGGTCGGATCTACAGCCCTAATAGTGTATATGTAGGTCAGCTTTTGATCATGCTGTGGACGAACATCTCCTGGCATGTCACCAAAGTGACTTTCTCATAGATAAGCAATGTAAACCTCCCGGGAGTGGAATGTGTACGTGATTGTGCTCTATGACAAAACTGAAATATTTCGTATCAATTTCAAACAAGATATCACACATTGAAAAATATATCTCATATTTTGTTATTGATCTTTAACATGGGAATATATAAGAGTACTTTCTTATATGCAGAAAATAGATGTACATACATTGGTTGATGACAATACAATGAATGTAATATGGGTTTGACTGAAGGTGTCCTCATAATAATGAAACAATGGTTTTCAGATATTGGTAGGTCGTAAACAGTTAGGTGCATGGACTCAGAGGTCAAGTAAGGACTTGTTATGCAGGAATGTCTGTCAAATCCCCGCCGCGGGCAATGATCCTTTATCTTAAAACGTCTTTGTAGTGGTCGCGCTTCATCAAACACGTCTATATGTATCAAAGGAAAATAACAACTGCTGTATCGGAGTGGTAAGTCAGTGGCATCAATAGGAAAATTCCATGTGACCCATAGACTAATTATACACAGACTACGGGTCTCTTGTCAAATCAGGGCTTGTTATTGTAGATTAGTTACTGTTTCCTACATATTGTCCGGTAAATACATAACAATATTAATCCCTCATTCATTGGTAGATATATACAGTACTTGCAGACAAACACATTGTCAGGTATATATTCAATACTCATTCATTGGTAGATATATACAGTACTTGCAGACAAACACATTGTCAGGTATATACTTAAACATTCACTCATTCACTGGTAGATATGTACAGCATCTTACAGACAAACACATTGTCAGGTATATACTTAATACTCATTCGTGGTAGATATATACAGTACATGCAGACAAACACATTGTCAGGTATATACTTAAACATTCACTCATTCACTGGTAGATATGTACAGCATCTTACAGACAAACACATTGTCAGGTATATACTTAATACTCATTCGTGGTAGATATATACAGTACATGCAGACAAACACATTGTCAGGTATATACTTAAGAATTCACTCATTCATTGGTACCTAGATATATACAGTACTTGCAGACAAAGACATGTTCATTGTCATAAATCCACAATATTATTACACAAACATCACAGCACGTGTTTCGCCAACGATTACTATTCTTGTGTGAGAAAACAATTGCCAATGTGGTTGAAATATTTCAGTTGTATTTCGTTGTCGAGGTAAAGTTCACAGCGATCGTGTCAGCACTGCTATTAAGACTCGGAGTATATCAGTAGGTGGTGTCACGCAAGTCTACGCTCGTTAGTGAATGGACTCCTTCCTTGTTTAGTCCAGCGTGACGGATCCCCTACACGTCGAGGCGCTGACAGCCGTCACGGGGGAATCACGATTCGTGGCAGTTATTGCTGTAGTGTGTGTAAAACACGCACTCTAAAGTGTGCGCACCCTATAAACCGAACCGTGTTTGTAGGATGGCATGTGTACATCAATAACCGGACCCCAACAACAGGGCGGTGTAGATGTGAGTCAAGAACGTCGGCACAGGGCCTCGCCTACAGCGAAACCGGTTACCCGTTCCCTATCACTGCCCTAACACAATAGGAAACAATTGCATTCAGGTTATAACGGAGGAGTTTAGCGCTACAACGAGGTCGGTATAACAGTAAGGGACATATTTCCTTTAAAGACAACTTTTAAAAAGGAGAAAGTTAAAATATTAAACATTTTACAGTTGACGTAATCGGTATTTCAAGTGGGCCGTGAATAATATATATAGGTCATGTTACTGTCGGGTTAAATGTTGACAGTCGTCTGTTATCCTGGTGAAGATACACACATTCTCTGCGTTTCACCACCTCAACGCACGTCACTAGCCGTCATATTTGTATGAGTGAACAGTTCAGTAAGTTACTATACCTATTGTGGTATGTGTAGTATGCTATGTTGATAGGACGTCGTACCGCGACTGTCACTGAAACCTACAACCTGGTTGATATTAGGAATAATAAACATTGATAAACGTCGATAAACAAAACACCACGAACCTGGTATCAAGGCGAGGAAGACCAACACCGTCTCACACAGTAGAGATGCCATTTTCATCACCCCGGGTATAATCCTAGATTGAGATATCGCCACCCGGCCCGTACTCCGTCCGTGTCTGATGCAGGCACTTAGATCACTGCCGTACAGCTCACACCGCAGTCACAATAGAGTGGTCGGCGCGGGCTGTGGGGTTGGGTTACCAGTCTCACAGGCGCTGCGTGGTTACCTGTCCCCGGGTTGTTACGGGTGTGTCGGGGGATCGGGGTGATTGGTCTACCCATTCATGGACTTGGAAATATTGAACTTTATTTATATATTTTAATCACATTATTTGAATAATTAAATCATTTGTAAAATTTACGTTGTCTATATGGACGTTAATCGGCATTGCACCCGTGAAGATCTTCAGCATCCCATCCTTGTCGTAAAAGGCGACTATGTTTGTCGTAACAGGCGACTAACGGGATCGAGTGGTCAGGCTCGCTAACTTGGTTGATGCATGTCATCGTATCCCCATTGCGTGGATCGATGCTCATGATATCAATCACTGGATTGACTGGTCCTGTAATCGATTATTTTCAGACCGCCGTCATATAGCTGGAATATTGCTGAGTGCGGCGTTAAACAACAAACAAACAAGAAACACGATTTAGGTATTGATAATCATTAGAAAATAATTACGTATGCTGGATTGTTTGTGATATCTGGTATCCAGTGTATGTGTGTTCGTAGTTTAGTTTACTTTGTTTAAAAATAAATTTCCTTAATATACAACCCTATGTATTGTGAGAAGTTTATTCGGACACATTTTGTTGCACCTCTTCTTTGCCTGTCTGCTTGTGGTTGAGTTGATGACTGTCGACAGCTGATGTCACGTGTCACGTGATGTATTGTACAGATAATGACGTAACGCATATACACGTACACCACAATGGCGGGTTTATTGTCGCGGCGCACCTGAAACTGATCTTTCATTTCTGTAACTGTAGCAGGGTAGTGGTATTTGAGTCCATTTTGCGTCCGTCTTTTTGTTCAGGAAAATTTTCAAAAATTAAAGTGATTTAAATCCCGGTTTGATTTTAATGATAACCTCTGGTGTACCATCATAGAGGTGTCGACTAAATAGTACACTTGATTTGTCAGTTGTGACACGACTTATCATTGTTTTTAAGTTTCTCAGAGAAAAGCGATGATACCATTTCTTGGGTTCATTAACACGTTCATAATTGTGATATGTGTCATGTATGGGTTGAAATGTCTTGTCAACAAACTTTATGTGTATGTCCTCGATCAGTCCTCTCTGGTCCTCCCAAGTCCTCCTTTGTCCTCTCCGGCCCTATTCTGGAGACAAAATGGATCGGGTGTTCAGGCTCGGTGAATTGGTTGATCGCGCCTCAACTTACCCCGATGTGATCGTTGAGCACAACATCAATCACTGGATTGACTGGTCCATGCCGGGTAGTCACAGAACGCCGTCCTATAGCTGGAATATTGCCAAGTACAACAAACAAAACCGATACTTCTCTTTAGGTTGATGGTGGCTTCTAGATCACGAAACGTCTTCTGAGTGTTTGTCAGATTCGTTTGTTTTACGGAGGCGGTATATAACGGAAGTGTGATTGCAGAACATCCCGGTCATTCTGTAGGAAACACAACATGATATGCAGACCAATCTGCATCAATCCGTGATTCCGGGTGGGAACGGTCTAAAGGAACCTACGCCTGTCATACGAGGCGTCTCCATGGACCGGGGCTCACGCACAGTGCCTCGGTTCATTGCTAGCCATCGCATCCTGACAGTGGGACTTTTAGTCATACGATACATTAGCGGTTTGCCGCAAAGAACAGGGATATTGCTGAATGTGGCGTTAAACAACAAACTCACACACACACACACACACACACACACGCACGCACGCATGCACGCACGCACGCACGCACGCACGCACACACGCGCGCGCGCGCGCGCGCACGCACGCACGCACACACACACACACACACACACACACACACACACACACACACACACACACACACACACACACAGCACTTTGAGCATGAAATGCTACATGGAGGCCAGCGCATTATAAGTGCACATTATTCTTATAGTTTGCGAGGAGTGGTCTCCCTTTAATGAACACCTGTGACCGTTTGAAACGTTATATCAAATACAAGACTTTTTTCAAAAAGAAACATTCCGCAGTTTGCCACAGGTTTTATTGTTACGAATGGTGAACTCCATAGCGCAGGGCGAATTGGTCAAGGGCAGCTGGACACTGCCCACTCCCAGTTGCACGTGCTGTGGGCGAGGTCAAACACGAGGGGTGCGGGGCAGCTGTAGGTGTAGACCTTTCCCTGTACACAACGGTAGAACACAGCGCAGTCCACGTCGCTCCGACGCCAGTCTGCCGACGTCCCCGACACACACTCAGATACAATACCTGTAGAAAACATGTGATATTTATTTTGCTGAAATGAAGTTATTGTACGAGTCGATAGATAAAACAGATTTTGCAATAATTTTTGCCGATGAAAATATATATATTACAGTTAGGTTATGTATGTCATAATCATGTTTATACTTGTACAGAAGACCCGTGAAGAAACACAAACAAACACACACATTCACACACACACACGCACAGACACACACATCACATAGACACACATACACACACACGCACAGACACACACATCACATACACACACATAAACACACATACACACACACGCACAAAAAAGACAAACAGCACGCACAGACACACACACACACTTTACAAACACCACACACAGATACATTGCACATATACACATACACACACACGCACGCACCCACACACCTCATACACACACACACACACACAGACACACACAAACACACATGCACACACGCACGCACATACTACCTACCATTATAATTGCCGGCTGTTGTTGTCAGCGATGTTGGGTCAGTTGTGGCTGAAGTGGAGGTCGTAGCAGATGTAGTCGTTGGAGATGTTGTTGTGGTAGGAGATGTCGTAGCAGATGTAGTCGTTGGAGATATTGTGGTCGGTGATGTAGTAGCAGATGTGGTTGTCAGTGATGTCCTGGCAGATGTGGTTGTCAGTGATGTCCTGGCAGATGTGGTTGTCGGGGATGTCGTAACGGATGTTGTTGTAGGGGATGTGGTTGGGGATGTCGAAGCAGATGTGGTTGTAGGGGATGTCGTAACTGATGTAGTTGGGGATGTCGTAGCAGATGTGGTTGTTGGGGATGTCGTTGCAGATGTGGTTGTAGGGGATGTCGTAACTGATGTAGTTGGGGATGTCGTAGCAGATGTGGTTGTTGGGGATGTCGTAGCAGATGTGGTTGTTGGGGATGTCGTAGCAGATGTTGTTGTAGGGGATGTCGTAACAGATGTGGTTGTTGGGGATGTTGTAGCAGATGTGGTTGTTGGCGATGTCGTAGCAGATGTAACAGTAGGGGATGTAGCAGGTGTAGTGGTTGGCGACGTAGATTGGCATGTCAAAGCTGCACGAAGTTGTGACACCAGTGGGTATTCCTGGCCACAGAATCCTCCTGTAAAATCATCCATGTCCAGAGACCAGACCATAGCACCGCCGTAGCCGTTGTCTTTGATGTACTGGAGCTGGTCGGGAGAAAATGTGAAGAGATTGAACGCCGCTGCACTCGGGTAACGTCCCAAAGGAAACTCACCTAACTAAATACTGGTCACAACGCCGTTTAACCATACTCAGTCATTGGAAAGGATACATATCTGTAGTTTAAGCAGAGAACGTATGGGTAATATATACGAGGGGTGGCTGAAACGTTTTGAGACTCACTACGAAGGACGCATGATACACCCTCTACAGTGTGCACGTATAAAGTACAACATTCACCATGCTGATCAACTGCATGTGGACCAAATACACTACCAGGCAGCATAGGTCCGCAGGCATCAAAGCGGACATGGCGTCAACTTTATAGATTGATACTCCTTGTTAGGAGTTGTAAGTGGAGTTTAAGAGGGGAAGCGAGATTCTTTAAGATGGTATTACCTGAATTATGCCACTGTAAAATACCAGCATAACCCTCGAGTATCCAGCGTACGTTATCACCATCGTACATCCATACATACCCGGAACCTATCCGTCACTCACTCGTTTGGGAAGTGAAGTCCCTATTTTCACCTGTCCTGTGACTTGCGTGGCACAGAACCCAGCTTACGTGAGTTATTTATTGAATGGTTCTCTGTAGCGTTATGGTAGAACATGGTTTAGGGTATCTGTTATAGAAGACATAATATAGAAACGGTCTACGTTCGTCAATACTCTGATTCTTCTTCAACCTAAGACCATGCAAGCAGAGACAACGGGTGTGGGTAACACCAGTGGACACAGGCTATGTGAGAAATGAGAATACCTTTAGACGGTAGCTTTCCACGTCATCGTAGCCCACCCACTCGGTGTGTCCGTTCCTCCGGCCGTACGCGTAGGGGACACCCATAGACCCCAGGCGAACTCTGCTGAAGCCATCATCAAGCAGCTGGCATATCTAAAAAAGCGTGTAACAGGCAGGTAGTGCAGGTCTCGGTACAATTCAAATACAGTTTCATTTGCACCAAGCATTCACCTCAACCTTACTGTACAGTCGCACATCAGCATCTCCTTCACACTGTGCATGCTCATAGTTGTGTTTGTTTTTTGTTTAACGCCGTACTCAGCAATATTCCATTTTTATGTAGGCGGTCTGTAAATAATCGTGTCTGGACCAGACCAAACAGAAACTGATGTCATGAGCATCGATCTATGCAACTGGAATACGATGACATGCATCAACCAAGTCGGCGATCCCGATCCCGTTACTATCCTATTACAAGCATTGGTTGCTGAAGACGTATTCTAACCCGGATCTTCACACTCATGCTCATAGTACCGTCGCATGAGACACCGTAACAACAAAAATTCATCCAGAGCAGGACAATGTACCTCCGACATACCTCATAGTAGCTAAGCGTGCCCGTCGAGCGGGTATAGAGCCCAGCGGATCCTGCTGCAGTGAAGGGAGACCTGATAGATGTTTGGGACGGATCTGACAGACGGAAGTGTCTCCCGTAGGTGGGCATTCCCATCAGCAGCTTCTTGGGATCTGCTCCCTGGTCCCGCCAGTACCGCATGGCATAGTCCTGTCAACATTCAACACACCCCGAGACAATGACACTGTGTCAGTACCGCATGGCATAGTCCTGTCAACATTCAACAAACCCCGAGACAATGACACTGTGTCAGTACCGCATGGCATAGTCCTGTCAACATTCAACACCCCCCGAGACAATGACACTGTGTCAGTACCGCATGACATAGTACTGTCAACATTCAACACCCCCGAGACAATGACACTGTGTCAGTACCGCATTGCATAGTCCTGTCAACATTCAACATCCCCGAGACAATGACACTGTGTCAGTACCGCATGGCATAGTCCTGTCAACATTCAACACCCCCCGAGACAATGACACTGTGTCAGTACCGCATGGCATAGTCCTGTCAACATTCAACACCCCCCGAGACAATGACACTGTGTCAGTACCGCATTGCATAGTACTGTCAACATTCAACACCCCCGAGACAATGACACTGTGTCAGTACCGCATGACATAGTCCTGTCAACATTCAACAACCCCGAGACAATGACACTGTGCCAGTACCGCATGGCATAGTACTGTCAACATTCAACACCCCCCGAAACAATGACACTGTGCCAGTACCGCAAGACATAGCCCTGTCAACATTCAACACCCCATGAGACAATGACACTGTGTCAGTACCGCATGGCATAGTCCTGTCAACATTCAACAGCCCCCGAGACAACGACACTGTGTCAGTACCGCATGACATAGTCCTGTCAACATTCAACACCCCCCGAGACAATGACACTGTGTCAGTACCGCATGACATAGTCCTGTCAACATTCAACACCCCCCGAGACAATGACACTGTGTCAGTACCGCAAGGCATAGTACTGTCAACATTCAACACACCCCGAGACAATGACACTGTGTCAGTACCGCATGGCATAGTCCTGTCAACATTCAACAGCCCCCGAGACAATGACACTGTGTCAGTACCGCATGGCATAGTCCTGTCAACATTCAACACCCCCCGAGACAATGACACTGTGTCAGTACGGCTTGGCTTAGTCCTGTCAACATTTTAAGGCAGTTTAATTTATTGATAAGCAATGATTGTAACTGTATTGCATGGTGCTGTTGAGATTCAGTAGAAGTTTATTGCAGTGCATATTGATAATGATTAGTTGTCAGGATTGTCACTACGATTTAATATAAGCAGTGGTGAGGCAGTTATCTTATTTAGAGGGGGGGGGGGGGACGCACCGTGTAGTAGATGGCGCTGTTGGGGTTGTAGAGCGGGGTGTGGTGGTCCACCTGACGGGGGAACGTCCAGGCTCCCTGGAAGTCGTATGTCATGATGCTCAGGAAGTCCACGTAGCTGAAACAGCGACAACACATGTCAACACGTGACTTCACGTGACAACCCGTGTCCCGTGAAGATCCGGGTTAGAAAAGGTCTTCAGCAACCCATGCTTGTTGTAAGAGGCGACTAACGGGATCCGGTGGTCAGGCTCGCTGATTAGGTTGATGCATGTCATTGATTACCAAATGCGTAGATCGATGCTGGTGATATCAATACCTGGATTGTCTAGTCCAGACTCGATTATTTACATATCGCCGTCATATAGCTGGAATACTGCTGAATACAGCGTTGAACATCAGACATACAGACAAACAAACAAACAAACAAAACACATCCCGTGAAGATCCGGGTTAGAAAAGGTCTTCAGCAACCCATGCTTGTTGTAAGAGGCGACTAACGGGATCCGGTGGTCAGGCTCGCTGATTAGGTTGATGCATGTCATTGAATACCAAATGCGTAGATCGATGCTGGTGATATCAATACCTGGATTGTCTAGTCCAGACTCGATTATTTACATATCGCCGTCATATAGCTGGAATACTGCTGAATACAGCGTTGAACATCAGACATACAGACAAACAAACAAACAAACAAACAAAACACATCACAGTGACGACACTGGATACACCCCGGTCATAATACCTTGCCATACGACTGTGTAACACATTCACTTAGAATTACCCATAATACCCTATCAGCCAACATGAAAAACACTATTTCGTTAATCAATGCCAAATATCGTATGCCAGACATACTTAGACAACAGAGGCATAGTGTATGGTGTTACCATCTGACCTAGACAACAGAGGTACAGTGTATGGTGTTACCAGCTGACCTAGACGACAGAGGTATAGTGTATGGTGTTTCCAGCTGACCTAGACAACAGAGGTATAGTGTATGGTGTTTCCAGCTGACATGGACAACAGAGGTATATTGTATGGTGTTACCAGCTGACCTAGACAACAGAGGTATAGTGTATGGTGTTACCAGCTGACCTAGACGACAGAGGTATCGTGTATGGTGTTTCCAGCTGACCTAGACAACAGAGGTATAGTGTATGGTGTTACCAGCTGACCTAGATAACAGAGGTATAGTGTATGGTGTTACCAGCTGACATAGACAACAGAGGTATAGTGTATGGTGTTACCAGCTGACCTAGACAACAGAGGTATAGTGTATGGTGTTACCAGCTGACATAGACAACAGAGGTATAGTGTATGACGTTACCAGCTGACCTAGACAACAGAGGTATAGTGTATGGTGTTACCAGCTGACCTAGACAACAGAGGTATAGTGTATGACGTTACCATCTGACATAGACAATGTTCAGAGGTATCGTGCATGGTGTTACCAGCTGACCTAGACAACAGAGGTATAGTGTATGGTGTTACCAGCTGACATAGACAACAGAGGTATAGTGTATGACGTTACCAGCTGACCTAGACAACAGAGGTATAGTGTATGACGTTACCAGCTGACCTAGACAACAGAGGTATAGTGTATGACGTTACCATCTGACATAGACAATGTTCAGAGGTATCGTGCATGGTGTTACCAGCTGACCTAGACAACAGAGGTATAGTGTATGACGTTACCAGCTGACCTAGACAACAGAGGTATAGTGTATGACGTTACCATCTGACATAGACAATGTTCAGAGGCATAGTGCATGGTGTTACCAGCTGACCTAGACAACAGAGGTATGCTGTACGAGCCGTCGACGATGGGCTGACCGGCAGACACCGCGGCGGCAAGTATGAGGCGCTTCCGGTCCCCAGTTAGAACTTCTTGATCAAACTTGGTACGTAGAGTCTTAAAGAAAAAATACACTTTATTAAACATTCAGTCTTCGCCTGCAGTTCAATACCTATCTTCCCGAGGGAAGGGACGATAAATGTCCAGTTTCCACCCTTGCCGAATTAGGCCGGAATTATGGTGTTATATTTTGGCTGGACTAACGAGTCTACGCAAATTCCAATCAAAATCGCGTTACGAAATCAACATTTGTTCAGTAAACAGGCGACTGCCTTGCAGATTTGGTTCGACTGTAGGATTTACAGAGTGATTTTATGTACTTCGCGAGGTAAGACCCGTTTTATCACAATAAAGGCCTTGATTATCGATCAGATCGTCTTGACTGGGCGCCGCCACTTTTTGTAAGCAGATGGTGACATAGAAGGGACATAACTCGTTATCACCATTGATGGCCACGACATTCCAGCCTAGTTCGGCAAGTGTTGAAGCTGAACTTTTGCAGTCAGTTAACTTTCTTTTGGAAAGATGTTCTATAGCATACATCTATAGCGGTTCCTGTTCCGTGTGAAAAAGATGAACAACGGCAAATACCAACTTGTGTTATGTTATGATAAAAAAAACATCATTTCAACATCTGATTATGGCAATGTGACAGAATATCAAGTCTACTGACAACTTTATCATAAAAAAATCATAAATATTACGATGTTTTACTCCAAGACAAACATACCTCCATCATTTTTGTGTGTTGAGTCTTGTGACCTGTCATTGACGGGTACTCCCAGTCTATGTCCAGGCCGTCCAAGCCGTTGTCGCGTATGAAGTCGATTGCGTTGACGGCAAAGGCTTGCATATCAGCTTCAGACTGGGTGATGTCTATGAAGCCTTGTATACGTTGCCAGCCTCCCAACACGGCGAGAAGCTTCAGGTCAGGGTTGATCTGTCTGAGGCCACGTAACTGCTGTAACATAGCTGCCGAAGATAAAAAAGAGAGTGAGTATGGTTTTACGCCGCTCCTGGATTAAAGAACGTCCCACTGTGCTACGGATATATAACACACACCATTGTGTTACAGACACGAAGAACACAGTATTGTGTTACAGACACGAAGAACACCGCATTGTGTTACAGAGGAAAAACGAAGGACACACCACCGAACCTGACAGTTTCTGTGAATCAGGCTTCCAAAGACTATCCAACACCGAACCCCCCTGTTACATGTCCCCACAGCAAGGCGAGACGGGAGGTACGAGCTCCGTGTGCTTACCATAGTCGTTCCACTCTCTGTAAACAATGGTCTTGGAGCTTCCGTCGATGTCGAGGAAGGCGTAGAGGATGTGTGTGCAGAGTGTGGCGTCGATGTTGCTTGGAGTGAAACGTGCAGGAGCTGGTCGGTACTGGGACCAGTTGGTGCAGTAGCACACCCGCATGTAGCTGCACTCTGTGAACAGGCAGACACTTGCAGGCTTTAAGTTCACTCACAGAGTTGCGGTTACTATAGCATAGAACAACAAACTTTATATTTTACTTCTCATTGTCATTTTTCCTTCAATGCCGTAACTCAGGCAGTGACGTGTTCGTACTTCTAATAATACAACCAGTCGACTTACCTTCATTACTCGTGCAGGTTTTAGCCAAGAAGGTGTTGCCTTCCTTAGGGCCCGTGGCGGTGTTCACGACGTAGGTGTAGCAGCTGCTGCCACGTATCTCGGCGGCAAGGCACCCGGCAGTCTCATCACAGAAGTCCTTGCACTCTTGTGTGGAAGCCACTGTTTTAAAGTCAGCCCAGTCAGATTGATCTCCCGCCGTGTCGGCTTGTTCCGTGTAGGTGCAGCCCCCTACCGACAGACAGTTTCACTACAAGATACAGGTATATTTCATATCTGCCAGTCGCAAGACTAAGCTTGAAATTGAAACATATAGCTAGGATGTTCTCAAATGTTGAGGAAGGTCACCCATGCTCAAAATAATTTTCAATAGTTAGAAGGGATGTAAACGGATTATAGTAAAAACACATGATTTGCATGTAAGTATGCTTGTCATGACTGAACGGTATTATCATGTAATTTTAGCTTAATAAGTGCAATGAAGGCTGCTTGGCTTCCTATCTCCTTACTAATCACGACAAAGCCAAACCCAAATGTAAACATAACGTTTGTCATGCCCATGTATTACGACCTACATCACCCAAAGGTTTTAACATTACATACCAATGTTTTCGTTGCCTATTGTTTGCTAAATGTAATATGCTGCACAAATACTTTATTGCCTATCATTTACACTTTCACAGTCCGCTAGAGTAGAGCGATGACTTTAAACAGTATTGCACACCCCTGAGTAGAACGAACACTGTGTAATGCAGACTCCTGAGTAGAACAAACACTGTGTATTGCAGATCCTTTCGAAGAACCAACACTGTGTATTGTAGGCCATTTAGTAGAACTAACACTGTATATTGCAGACCAATGAGTAGAACTAACACTGTGTATTGCAGACCCCTGAGAAGAACAAATACTGTGTATTGCAGACCCCTGTGTATAACCGTTTATTGCAGACCCCTGAGAAGAACTAACACTGTGTCTTGCAGACCCCTGAGAAGAACTAACACTGTGTATTGCAGACCCCTGAGGAGAACTAACACTGCGTATTGCAGACCCCTGTGTAGAACCGTTTATCGCAGACCCGTGAGAAGAACATATACTGTGTATTGCAGACCCCTGAGAAGATCTAACACTGTGCAATGCAGTCCCCTGTGTAGAGCTAACACTGTATATTGCAGACCCCTGAGAAGAACTAACACTGTGTCCTGCAGACCCCTGAAAAGAACTAACACTGTGTTTTGCAGACCCCTGAGAAGAACGAACACTGTGTCCTGCAGACCCCTGTGTAGAACCGTTTATTGCAGACCCCTGAGAAGAACTAACACTGTGTATTGCAGACCCCTGAGAAAAACAAACACAGTGTATTGCAGACCCCTGTGTAGAACCGTTTATTGCAGACCCCTGAGAAGAACAGATACTGTGTATTGCAGACCCCTGAGAAGAACTAACACTGTGTATTGCAGACCCCTCAGAAGAAGTAACACTGCGAATAACAGACCCCTGTGTAGAACCGTTTATCGCAGACCCCTGAGAAGAACAGATACTGTGTATTGCAGAACCCTGAGAAGAACTAAAACTGTGTATTGCAGAACCCTGAGTAGAACTAACACTGTGTATTGCAGACCCCTGTTTAGAGCTAACACTATATATTGCAGACCCCTGAGAAGAACTAACACTGCGTATTGCAGACCCCTGAGAAGAACTAACACTGTGTATTGCAAAACCCTGTGTAGAACAGTTTATTGCAGACCCCTGAGAAGAACTTACACTGTATATTGCAGACCCCTGAGAAAAACTAACACTGTGTATTGCACAACCCTGTGTAAAACCATTTATCGCAGACCCCTGAGTAGAACTAACAGTGTGTATTGCAGACCCCTGAGAAGAACTAACACTGTGTATTGCAGACCCCTGTGTAGAACCGTTTATTGCAGACCCCTGAGTAGAACTAACACTGTGCATTGCAGAACCCTGAGAAGAACTAACACTGTGTATTGCAGTCCCCCGTGTAGAACTAACACTGTGTATTGCAGACCCCTGAGAAGAACTAACACTGTGTATTGCAGCCCCCTGTGTAGAACCGTTTATTGCAGACCCCTGTGTAGAACCATCACTTTGTATTTCTGATCCAAGTGGTTTGGGTTCTGATCAAAGTGGTTTGGGTTCTGATCCAAGTGGTTTGGGTTCTGATCCAAGTGGTTTGGGTTCTGATCCAAGTGGTTTGGGTTCTGATCCAAGTGGTTTTGGGTGGTAATACAGCAACTGGTTATAAAGTTGTTGAAGAGGACGTCAACATTTTTCTGTATTCAGTATGCATTTAATCAATTAATCCATCTAAAAATAAATAAAATGTCATTGCTTTCTTTCTGGTGACCCTGTCGGTGATAAATAGTAGGACGCGTTCAAAGTTAATGCTTCCTAGATATATAAATAAATAAAAATAAAAATTTACATGGAGCAGTAAAATAAATACTTTTTCTGTAAATTATCTCATGTTCATCTGTCAGCGGAACGTATGCATACACCGTTGTATGACCGCAGGGCGGGAGATTCCTATGTCGATATTGCACAAGAAAAAGAACAGTTATAGAGGTTATCATCACAAGATCTGATCACAGCCAAGGCGGTTTGACTGTTAGCTGACCCTGTTAGCCATGAACAAACACACCCACAGAAGACCCTGCTAACCTTGAACAAACGCATCAACAGTGGACCCTGTTAGCCATAAACAGACACATCCAAAGTTGATCTTGTTAGCCATGAACAAAAACATCTACATTGGATCCTGTTAGCCTTGAACAAACGCATCCACAGTGGACCCTGTTAGCCTTGAACAAACACATCCACAGTGGACCCTGTTTGCCATGAACAAACACATCCACAGTGGACCCTGTTAGCCATGAACAAACACATCCACAGTGGACCCTGTTTGCCATGAACAAACACATCCACAGTGGACCATGTTGGCCATGAACAAACATATCCACACTTGACTATGTTGGCCATGAACCAACACATCCACACTTGACCATGTTAGCCATGAACAAACGCATCCACAGTGGACCCTGTTAGCCATGAACAAACACATCCACACTTGACCATGTTGGCCATGAACAAACAGATCCACAGAAGAACCTGTTAGCCATGAACGAACGCTTCCACAGTGGACCCTGTTAGCCATGAACAAACGCATCCACAGTGGACCCTTCTAGCCGTGGACAAACGCATCAACAGTGGACCCTGTTAGCCATGAACAAACGCATCCAAAGTGGACCCTGTTAGCCTTGAACAAACACATCCACAATAGACCCAGTTAGCCTTGACCTGCCAATTGTCCCCGATAGCGCTGTTCTAATCCATCATCAGTGGTTACCGAACTGGATCACCACACCTTGCCATGTCCTAGTTACTCCACAGCGAATCATGCTGGGTTTGATCTAGTCCATCAGCAGTGGTCCCGACCTAAACCATCCACAGTGGCCTTGACCTAGTTCATGGAAAGAAGACCGCAGTTGACCTAGATGATCCATCGTGTGCCTGCGTTAGTCTCGACACAGTGACAGTTGATCGTAGTTGACTTCATCATCCATAGTCGCGTTGACCTTCATCCTCAACTGGGGACCTTCGTTAATCGTGACCCAGATCATCCATAGTGGACCATTGTTAACTCCAACTTGACGTACACCATCCAAAGTGGTCTTCATTTAGGTCATCCACAGTCAGATCGACAAACATTGCTCGGGGTTATTCCCCATTGAGCCGAACGCGGGTCTATGACGTGACGAGAGAACGCTTCAACCACTAGGCTACTAGGCTACGTGACCGCGCCAGGTCAAGTGGAAGTCATCAAGAGATAGATATACCATATGTGCTGGTGATTCTAAGGCGGACTGCCCTACCTGAACACAGCGGGAGGAAACACAGCACAGCAACAGCGAGCACAGCAACAGCACGTGGCATCCTCATCACCACCTGGAACATCACATGAGGGTTTCAAACATGCACACAACGATACAAGAAACATTCAGAGGTCCAGTGGCGTAGCTACCACGAGGCACACAACGATACAAGAAACATTCAGAGGTCCAGTGGCGTAGCTACCACGAAGCACACAAAGCAAGTGTTTACCCTATGAAATCGCTTTAAAATAAAATATGCTCTATACTATATTGATATATACTCTCCAAAAAGTGAAACGCAATACGGACATTTTTGGCCATAAAAGCATCATTAGCGGCCCAAGAGGTGCAAAATGAAGAAGTTTAATGTGTTATTGTGTCAGTGACATATTTCCCGGATCAAAGTGATCACAACAAGGACATGCAAACCATTAGTCGGGAAACAGGTACGATTGGGACAAACGCGTCCAGTGCATTAACAAAAGGGCCAGGGAGCTGAACGGTCTGCACGTGCAGCAGCACTATTAAGGTGCAGGTATTAAAATGCAGGGTTTTGAATTGCCTGGCTGGCATCTGCGTCAATCGAACAGTGACAGTCCAACAACATGCCAAGATTAACAGAAGTGCAACGATACAACGTCATGGGCCGCTTGCAGGCATGGGAATCCCGATCAGGTGTAGCCAGGGTTTTCAATGTAGCGCCCAGCACCATGACAAGGCTATGGGATCGGTTTCAACATCATGGATCAACACGTGATCGGCTAGGGTCGAGACGACCAAGAGGAACCTCCCCCGCCCAAGATCGCTACATCCCACTGCGCCACCTACGTGAAAGGACGACCACAGCCACTTCAACCGCATCGCAAATACCCGGACTACGCAGAATCTCCGACCAGACCGTACGAAACGGTTTAAGAGCAGCAGATCTACGAGCAAAACGTCCTGTTGGACGCGTCATATTGAGTCGACAACATCGTCATCAACGACTAGGTTCGGTCCTTATCCAGGGCAATCTTACGACTCAACGATACATTAACGAAATTATCCTACCACACGTCCACCCAATTGCAGCCAACGGCAACGGTGTATTCCAGCAGGAAAACGCTCGACCACATACAGCACGGATCACAAGAGCCTGTCTACACAACAACGTTGATGTTCTGCCCTGGCCCTCCAGATCCCTGGATTCGAACCCTATAGAACACCTGTGGGATGACTTGGATAGACGGCGACGCCGACGTCAACTACATCCCCAGACGTTACAGCAGTTGGCTTTTGCGTTGAAGGCCGAGTGGGCTACCATTCCCCAGGGTGTGACTCGCATACTCCTCTCTTCCATGGGCATGAGATGTCAGGCCGCTATCGATTCCAATGGGGGACATACGCGTTATTGATGATAGCTGACCTTCACCTTTGAACTGATAACTGGAAAGACTACAATCACGAAGTGTCCTCTCCACAACGTTTTGGCTCACTACCTTGTACGGTTCCTCGTATAAATATATTTTCCTTCCTCACCAAAATCTCTCTTTGCGTTTCTTTTTTTTGACGCAAAGATGCAAAGATACTGAAACTGAAAACTGGCTAGTTAAATCCACAAAACAACGTTTACAAATAGTTATTCTACTTTCAAATTTCAATAAGTATATATCTAGAGTCTGAACAAAAACTATTTAATAAGACCAATATGTATGTTGCAATGTTGAGCAAATGACAAGGTTCCAATGTGCTACCAGCAATACATCTTCAGAAGACTTTCCGTTGGCACATGGCAACTATAACTAGCTCACAACAGAAAGGGCGGGCTTTGTTTTGCATGTTTAAGCTCAAGGATGTCACTGATTTCGTATTGTCTACAGTTTTTGTCGTTTTTTTGTTTTGTTTATGAAGCTATTATGGTTCGTGTATTTATTTCAACGAATTCACTTCGATATCTTTTTTGCGTTTATGAAGTTATCAACGGTGTTCACACTTTGCGTATATTCGTAATTATTTACGTTGGAAATAAATAGTGCTTAAGTCATGCACAAGTTTAACTCTGATGGAAAATGTATTTATATTTACTTAACTATATGAATAGTTCATAGTTTATAAGAATATACATGTTATGTGGAAATCCGGTTTTATACCTTGTTATTATTATATAAATGTGTATGTGTATATACAATTTAAGAAATAAACGAGTGGAAATTGTTTATCGTACAATAAAACACTGCAGGGAGAATGCGCCATGAGGGGCGCAGCAGCATACTCCTTAGTATTCCGATTCTTAACGTAGATGCAGTCGGAAGAAACACATAGGCTTCAAATATGACGAATACATTATTTTCTTTTGGTTTAGGTTTGATTGTGAATCTCAGGGTAATACGGAATGGTTCTGAATTTATCTGAAGATTGTCATACACAACATGGTATTCTGCGATGTCGAGTTCAAAACTTCTTTGTTAATAAATTCTTAAGTCTACTTTTAAAAGAAATATGCTTACATATTAAGAACTGGTAAACGGGAAATACAGGAATAGGGAGGAGAGCAGCCACCGAGAAGACACTGCGGTTTTGTCCATCATGTAACATACACGTAATTGAATATGAAATTCATATTGTATTGATATGTCTCGCATTTATTAATATTCGTTCAAAATATTTCCATTCTTCAGTTTCCATACTATTTCTAATCGAAAGAATGTTTGATAACAACGTTGCAATCCTCTGAAGTGAACGTTCTAAAACATTTAACAATGTTGCAGTCCTCTGAAGTGAACGTTCTAAAACATTTAACAATGTTGCAGTCCTCTGAAGTGAACGTTCTAAAACATTTAACAATGTTGCAGTCCTCTGAAGTGAACGTTCTTAAACATTTAACAATGTTGTAGTCCTCTGAAGTGAACGTTCTTAAACATTTAACAAACTACATTAACGATGCCGTCAATCTTCGATATTCATAAGTGCAAATATTTGCTGATGAAGCATGTTCAAAATGTCTTCTTTGTGTTAATTTGACATTGGCCTAAAACATTAATACTGACAAAGATGATTGATTGAGGCAGTTGGTCGATGTCACATATACCTTTCATGTAATGCCTATACTATTGAAGACATGTCACTTGAAATGAATATAGCTGAAATAGAGGACTATTCATTACCGCTTCACGAGATATACTCCCTTCATTACTGTAAACCCTAGTCATTTTATTGATACATGTTTTGAATAATGTCATGTTACTTTGTTAGGTACATATAACCAGCCATTCTGCCGCTCACTGTTTAAACTTGTACCTATCGACAGATCATTAGGATTCTAATATTGATATGGACCGTGAAATCTTTCATATATAATTTAATAAATCGACTACGCTGCAGAACAAGTTTCTCTTTTCTAGTTGCCAGAAGGGAGTCTTGAACAAAAACGCGTTTGACACATTAATATCTAGGATGTAGTCTAAAACGAAAAAATACAACATTACCTTCAGTTAGTGTGCTGGACAGAGATGCGTGTCTTGTGAACGAGGACTCGCTTTTTGTCGACCACATTCCCCGCTGTCGATCATAATCAGCTGCATGTCTCCCCGGAATACTAATGACGATTTCACACCACACAGACGCAATAAAACACGCGCCCTTCAGCATACTCCGTCCAGGTGAAGTCGGTGCTCAAGGCTGATGTTATCGAAGCTCAAGTACAAAATCTTACATATATACCATTGTGCCTTAAGGTATTGCGGGCTATATTCTATTTCGCTACTGTTCGCTACTTTTGATGACAACAGCTAGGTTCATCCACCTTTATTTTTTCAAACGTGTACAGGTCACTGAAAAGCGACCAAGCAAAGTGCAACATCGCTGACATTACACCCGTCATGTACAATACATGTATATCATCATTTATATTTATATATTGTTTGCTTGTCAGACCGGACCTGAAGAGTGGACCCTTGATAGTTCGATACTGGCTGGTCAAGACGTTTAAGCTAAAAGGTTGAACCGGGCGAGTTTGGCCATTACAGGTCAACGCTTGACCTTCGTTTGTGCGAATCCTTTAGTTCAACAGTGGTTCCCACCGAGGGCTTCACTCCGTCACGGCATGGATTTCCATATATGGGACCGCCTCCGTGGTCTAATGGTAGAGCGTCTGCCCGGAGAGCGGAAGGTCCGAGGTTCGATCCCCGACCGCGTCATACCAAAAGACGTAAAAAGATGGTACTTGTTGTTACCCTGTCTGGCGCTCGGCATTAGGGGCTAAAAAAATGACTGGTCGGCTCGGAGTCAGTATACTGTGTCTAAGTGGGGTATTCTGCGGCATGGTATCTCAGTGTGCTAGCACTATAAATCGGCATCAGTCCGGACTAGAACAAGCAGCCACACACATACATACACGTGCATGCACGTCGCTATATAAGTGCAATAATCTTAGACGCGACGTTAAACCCCATTTCACCTCACCTCACCATATATGGAATCAAACATGTCTACTGTATGTGACGAATAGGTGTGCTAGACTTCAACTTTCCAAATGAAGACCTGTGACGAACGGCTGGGGACACCACAAATGGGCTTCACACATTGTACCCATATGGAGACTCGAACCCGGGTCTTCGGCGTGACGAGCGTACGCTTGAACCACTGGGCCACCTCGCCGCAAAAGGCTCCTCAGACGTCTAGGCCAATGGAAGACTGAGTCGGAACACATATTCTGCATCGTGATTTATTAAACAACATATAGAAAATAGTACATATGGTATATAAATATAGTACAAATTGTCCATATAGTCTCAAGAAAGCGGAGGTTTTCTGTGGGAGACGACTCTACCGTTTGTTATTGCACTCGGGAACGAGGAATGCCCAGTTGCACACTGAGTATCTGGTGTCGTAGGCCAGGCCGGGAGGACACTCGAAGGAGCTGAGGATGCCGTTGCTGCACATGTAGAACATGGTGCAGTTGGCGCTAAGGCCGGCGTACGTCCAGGAACCCTCAACACACGTGGTCTGCAAGGCTGATGAGGGAAACACAGGTTGAGATGAATATAATAGATACATAAAATAACTCTTCGAAGGTGAGCATCGTTGTGGCGATACAACGATACGCTCACCATCCTTTTCAAAGTGATAGATCCTAACAATATGATCGGCTTAGGATGCGATTTAGCACACAAAACAACAAATTCGAAAATTGATGTGAAATTATTTTTCCTGTTCCCTAATATTAATATAAAAAGGCATCAGATTCTGTGTTCAATCAGCCACAATCATGAGAGCGCAAATGAATCAATAGGTTTTATTTTCATATATGTGACAGTGTGCATTTGACCCGGGCGGTTTCATCAAACAAGCTTGACAGTCAACGAAACGAAAAACAACAAACCTGCTTCATCCATGGGTGACGTTGGCGATTTTTGGGAAGTAGGAGAAGTAGGTGATGTTGGAGATGTCGGTGATGTGGGTGACGTTGGAGATGTCGGTGATGTGGGAGACGTTGGAGATGTCGGTGATGTGGGGGAAGTTGGAGATGTCGGTGATGTTGGAGAAGTTGGAGATGTTGGAGATGTCGGGGACGTTGGAGATGTCGGTGATGTGGGGGAAGTTGGAGATGTTGGAGATGTCGGTGATGTGGGAGACGTTGGAGATGTCGGTGATGTGGGGGAAGTTGGAGATGTTGGAGATGTCGGTGATGTTGGTGACGTTGGAGATGTCGGTGATGTGGGTGACGTTGGAGATGTCGGTGATGTTGGAGAAGTTGGAGATGTTGGAGATGTCGGGGACGTTGGAGATGTCGGTGATGTGGGGGAAGTTGGAGATGTTGGAGATGTCGGTGATGTGGGTGACGTTGGAGATGTCGGTGATGTGGGTGACGTTGGAGATGTCGGTGATGTGGGAGAAGTTGGTGATGTTGGAGATGTCGGAGATGTTGGGGAAGTTGGAGATGTCGGTGATGTTGGTGACGTTGGAGATGTCGGTGATGTCGGTGACGTTGGAGATGTCGGTGATGTTGGTGACGTTGGAGATGTCGGTGATGTTGGAGATGTCGGAGATGTTGGGGAAGTCGGAGATGTTGGTGACGTTGGAGATGTCGGTGACGTTGGAGATGTCGGTGATGTTGGGGAAGTCGGAGATGTTGGTGATGTTGGAGATGTCGGTGATGTTGGAGCCGTGATGAGGGAACAGTTGAGGACGTCTTTCATCTGTGATATGAGAGGGAAGCTGACAGCCGCGTTACAGAAGGAGCCATCGAAGTCATCGAAGCTGTAAGACCAGACCATGGCACCGCCGTAGCCATTGTCCACCACGTACTGAAGCTGTAGAGGAACAGTTGCACAAACAATATCTTCAAAGTAGAGGAACAGCTGCACAAACAATATCTTCAAAGAAGAGGAACAGCTGCACGAACAATATCTTCAAAGTAGAGGAACAGCTGCACTAACAATATCTTCAAAGTAGATGAACAGCTGCACTAACAATATCTTCAAAGTAGATGAACAGCTGCACTAACAATATCTTCAAAGTAGATGAACAGCTGCACTAACAATATCTTCAAAGTAGAGGAACAGCTGCACTAACAATATCTTCAAAGTAGAGGAACAGCTGCACTAACAATATCTTCAAAGTAGAGGAACAGCTGCACTAACAATATCTTCAAAGTAGAGGAACAGCTGCACTAACAATATCTTCAAAGTAGATGAACAGCTGCACTAACAATATCTTCAAAGTAGAGGAACAGCTGCACTAACAATATCTTCAAAGTAGAGGAACAGCTGCACTAACAATATCTTCAAAGTAGAGGAACAGTTGCACTAACAATATCTTCACAGTAGAGGAACAGCTGCACTAACAATATCTTTAATTTGAGTAAAGAACAGGTACCAGACATTCTACCACATACCGAAGCTGTATCGAGAGTTGCAACTACACGATCTTCAAATGCAGTAAGAAATAAACAGACATTAAAGTCAGTGTCAGCTGAAATGTTTGTGTAGCATTCCCCGGTTACCTTTTCACGGAAACTCTGACTGTCGTCGTAGCCCACCCATTGAGTTGAGCCGTCCTTGGGCCCGAAGGCGTAGGGGACCTTCATGTCCGCCATCCTGACTCTCGTCCAACCATCCCTCTCGATCAGCTGACAAATCTGAAGAAAGAGGCAGAAAAGTATCACAATTTGATACTCCTCTAAAAGTGAGGATTGTTTCTTGGTCAATGGATCTTAGTCTATAGAGTAAGTTTGGTTTCTGTTGTGCGTTCTTACCTCCATGTACCCAAGAAAGCCGTTGGATCTGGTGTAGGTTCCACCTGATCCCGCTCCCGAGAAAGGCGCCCCGTAATTGGTGTTGGATGGGTTCGAGAGGGTGAACGAGCGACCGTATGAAGCCAGGCCAAGGATGAGCTTCTGGGGGTCGGCGCCACCATCTCGCCAGTACCGCATGGCCCAGTCCTGGGTAGAAACAATGACATTGTATGTACCACATGGGAGTAATAGGAGAGAGGAAATACCTAATCATGTACCAATGACACATGGAGTAAAAGGGGAGGGGAAATACCTAATCATGTACCAATGACACATGGAGTAAAAGGGGAGGGGAAATACCTAATCATGTACCAATGGCACAGGGAGTAAAAGGGGAGGGGAAATACCTAATCATGTACCACTGATACATGGAAGTAAAAGGGAAGGGGAAATAGCTAACCATGTACCAATGGCACATGGAAGTAAAAGAGGAGGGAAAATAGCTAATCATGTACCAATGAAACATGGAAGTAATAGGGGAGGGGAAATAGCTAATCATGTACCACTGAGACATGGAAGTAAAAGGGGAGGGGAAATAGCTAACCATGTACCAATGGCACATGGAGTAAAAGAGGAGGGAAAATAGCTAATCATGTACCAATGAAACATGGAAGTAAAAGGGGAGGGGAAATAGCTAACCATGTACCAATGGCACATGGAGTAAAAGAGGAGGGAAAATAGCTAATCATGTACCAATGAAACATGGAAGTAAAAGGGGAGGGGAAATAGCTAATCATGTACCACTGAGACATGGAAGTAAAAGGGGAGGGGAAATAGCTAACCATGTACCAATGGCACATGGAGTAAAAGAGGAGGGAAAATAGCTAATCATGTAGCACTGAGACATGGGAGTAAAAGGGGAGGGGAAATAGCTAATCATGTACCACTGAGACATGGAAGTAAAAGGGGAGGGGAAATAGCTAATCATGTACCACTGAGACATGGAAGTAAAAGGGGAGGGGAAATAGCTAATCGTGTACCACTGAGACATGGAAGTAAAAGAGGAGGGGAAATAGCTGATCATGTACCACTGAGACATGGAAGTAAAAGGGGAGGGGAAATAGCTAACCATGTACCAATGGCACATGGTGTAAAAGAGGAGGGGAAATAGCTAATCATGTACCACTGAGACATGGAAGTAAAAGGGGAGGGGAAATAGCTAATCATGTACCAATGAAACATGGGAGTAAAAGAGGAGGGGAAATAGCTAATCATGTACCACTGAGACATGGAAGTAAAAGGGGAGGGGGAATAGCTAACCATGTACCAATGGCACATGGTGTAAAAGAGGAGGGGAAATAGCTAATCATGTACCAATGAAACATGGGAGTAAAAGGGGAGGGGAAATAGCTAATCATGTACCACTGAGACATGGAAGTAAAAGAGGAGGGGAAATAGCTGATCATGTACCACTGAGACATGGAAGTAAAAGGGGAGGGGAAATAGCTAACCATGTACCAATGGCACATGGTGTAAAAGAGGAGGGGAAATAGCTAATCATGTACCAATGAAACATGGGAGTAAAAGGGGAGGGGAAATAGCTAATCATGTACCACTGAGACATGGAGTAAAAGGGGAGGGGAAATAGCTAATCATGTAACACTGAGACATGGGAGTAAAAGGGGAGGGGAAATAGCTAATCATGTACCACTGAGACATGGAGTAAAAGGGGAGGGGAAATAGCTAATCATGTACCACTGAGACATGGAAGTAAAAGGGGAGGGGAAATAGCTAATTATGTACCAATGACAGAGTAAAAGCTTGTGCACTTACCACATTGAACTGGGCGTTAGGGGACACGTCTCCTGCCTGGGGGTACAAAGGACTGTGGTGCCCAACCACCTGGGGATTGTTCCATGTGCCAGACAAGTCATATGTCATCACATTGATCAGATCCACAAGACTGGAAGAAAAGAACACGAGATAAATTCAGGATATAGGTGAATCGAAAATACTAAAGTACTCTGTTGGTTTGTCTGCTACGGATTGCAACAAGGAAGGTATCATTGGAAATGAGAAGGGTGCTGTAGCTGACTTACTAGGCACGGCGAGGATGTTGTAGCTCTCTGAGTAGACACTACAGGAATATTGCAGCTAACTCACTGGAGACGGCAGGATGTTGTAGCTCTCTGAGTAGACACTACAGGAATATTGCAGCTAACTCACTGGAGACGGCGGGATGTTGTAGCTCTCTGAGTAGACACTACAGGAATATTGCAGCTAACTCACTGGAGACGGCAGGATGTTGTAGCTCTCTGAGTAGACACTACAGGAATATTGCAGCTAACTCACTGGAGACGGCGGGATGTTGTAGCTCTCCGAGTAGACACTACAGGAATATTGCAGCTAACTCACTGGAGACGGCGGGATGTTGTAGCTCTCTGAGTAGACACTACAGGAATATTGCAGCTAACTCACTGGAGACGGCGGGATGTTGTAGCTCTCTGAGTAGACACTACAGGAATATTGCAGCTAACTCACTGGAGACGGCGGGATGTTGTAGCTCTCTGAGTAGACACTACAGGAATATTGCAGTTAACTCACTGGAGACGGCGGGATGTTGTAGCTAGCCTACGTGACTCAGCCTAGATGATGTAGTTGCGTTACTAGCAGAGAAGGATGTTGATTCTAGCGGATTTACTAGACATGGCCTGACGTTGTCGCCGATTTATTAAAGAGGGCAGGATGTTGTAGCTAGCGTATTAGACACGGTGGGATGTTGAAGCTGAGATACTGGACACTGACAAGACGTTGCAGCTTTCTTTTGTAGATACGATAGGATGTTGTAGGTTGCGTATTAGACACAGTCGGGATGTTGTAGCTATCTTACTCGTGATGGCAGGGATATTATAGCTGACTTACCTAGACAGCCTGGATGTTGTAACCAATTTACTTGAGATGATAGGGATGTTGTAGCTGACTTACCTAGACACGGTGGGGATGTCGTACGAGCCATCGATATTGATCTTGCCGGCGGAGACGGCGATGATCAACATCAGCTTGTTCTGACCTACCGTCAGCACCTCCGCGTCAATCGTTGTCCTCAGTATCTGAATGATAAACAATTGAGTTATTTTTTTCTAATAAAAAATAGTTGTTGTTTTTTATCTTTACGACACGCTCCAACTACTACCACCACTGCTTATACTGACACTATCATATCACTACCACTTCCGTTGTAACACACGCTAAACCTAACAATTATTGAGAGAGTAGTATTTCAATCGTTTGCATGAAAATGCCGATTGTGACACCATACTACGTGGCGATTATAACGCACGACATGGACGTTTGATTGACGATATTTTGAATGATTGTAACAGGTGTATACCAAGTGTGGAAGATATGGACTATATTCAGGATGTGATGGTGTGTATGACGATTGTGGAAGGAAAGTGATTGGTGTTTGTGGTACAGGACTATATTCAGGATGTCATGGTGTGTATGACGATTGTGGAAGGAAAGTGATTGGTTTGTTCAATCCTAAACAGTGTGAACATTTGGTTCTATCTAAACACGTTTAGGGTCTAAACACATGAAATGAGCTATCGCCTCATTGCCTAAACACTACCTGAACACAACATCCCCATAATCCAAACATGTTTAGAATTCATACACCTTAATATGTTTAGAATATAAATACCTTTAACATGTTTAGAATATAAATACTTTTAAACATGTGTAGAATATGAACACCTTTAACATGTTTAAAATTAAAACATGCATAAAAGAGTGCATCTTATCAAGCTATAAGTAAAATATGGATGAAATGTATAATATAGATTCACAGGCACTTGCATAACCATAGATACTACCAAGACTTATAACAAACTTGGTCTAACATTAACATAAAACTGTACAAATAAACCAAGCTTCTGGTGACTAGAAAGTATGACACCCGTGACGACAACAGACCCCGTAAGTGGTAGATTGACGGACTACAAATTCAGAGGTTGCAGGTTCAAATCCGACCGAGGTAAAACAATCTTTGTGTTAAAAATGTGCTGTTTCTTTGCGCCTAACGGTAATTCTCTCAAACAGGACGCTGACAATGAAAGTATATCTGGTTACTACTTAACCAGCTTATAGTTGACGATAGGCCGCCTACTCAAGAACATACTTACTGATAAGTAACGTCTACTAAAATAATAATGTCTGAGTGGACAGTGAAATGCACAAACTATGTTGGTATACTTTACAAAATATTTCTGTCTGTGTTGTTAAGAAATAGCGGCGTTAAACAACAAAGAAAATGTTAAGAAATAAGTATATATGCCAAGTTAAGAATGTGTTAAATATTATGAAATATTGTGAAGCCACCGAGGTTTCCACAACAGGAAGAACCGACAACTTGTAGTCTAGATCACTTACTTTGTGTACTCCAAATATAAGATTTGTTTACATAAGACCACTTTCTAATTGACATTGTGTGTTCCTATACTAGTACTGGCGACGGCCTACCAACACTGAATACAACACCACTACTACGGCAATGACATGGTGGCTGCACTACTCACCTGCATCAGTGACGTAAATCTGGCGGACAACCCGGAGTCGGACGGGAACTCCCAGTCTATGTCGATGCCGTCAAATCCATATTGCCTCGCGAAGGTGATAGCTTTGTCGGCGAATGTTTGGATGTTGCCGTCGCTTGTGACGAGGGCGTTGAATTGCCACGACACGCCATAACCTCCCACAGCTAGGAGGATCTTTACGTCCGGGTTAGTTCTCTTAATGTCCATGATCTCGCCGTACAGCGCTGCGCAAGACAAATCACTCATTCACTAACACAGACTAGTACTTGAGATTAACGAACTCTCACCTGTGCTTACTTATTCACTAACACAGACTAGTACTTGAGATTAACGAACTCTCACCTGTGCTAACTTATTCACTAACACAGACTAGTACTTGAGATTAACGAACTCTCACCTGTGCTTACTTATTCACTAACACAGACTAGTACTTGAGATTAACGAACTCTCACCTGTGCTTACTTATTCACTAACACAGACTAGTACTTGAGATTAACGAACTCTCACCTGTGCTGACTTATTCACTAACACAGACTAGTACTTGAGATTAACGAACTCTCACCTGTGCTTACTTATTCACTAACACAGACTAGTACTTGAGATTAACGAATTCTCACCTGTGCTGACTTATTTACTAACACAGACTAGTACTTGAGATTAACGAACTCTCACCTGTGCTGACTTATTCACTAACACAGACTAGTACTTGAGATTAACGAACTCTCACCTGTGCTGACTTATTCACTAACACAGACTAGTACTTGAGATTAACGAACTCTCACCTGTGCTGACTTATTTACTAACACAGACTAGTACTTGAGATTAACGAACTCTCACCTGTGCTGACTTATTCACTAACACAGACTAGTACTTGAGATTAACGAACTCTCACCTGTGCTGACTTATTTACTAACACAGACTAGTACTTGCAATTGTCGAACGCTCTTCTGCATTCACTCACTCGCTCACTCACTCACTCATTCACTCACGCACTCACTCACTCAATAACGTCTCTCCATGTCTCCCATCCACTAAACCACTGGAGCTACTGCCAACCTACTTATGTCATTCCATTCGTATGTGATGACGTCGAAGGTGTTGACGTCGATCCTGGCGAAGGCGTAGATGATGTGTGTGCATAACGTCGGGTCGATGTCAGACGGGTTGAACTTGGAAGTCCCCGTGCGATACTGAGCCCAGTTGGTGAAGTAGCACAATCGCTTCAGATCACACGTACCTGTTTCAACACAGACGACGAGACGACGGTTTTAACATGATGTTATGCAATAATGTCAACCGACAACATTATTCAATTGTATTTGTATTTTCAGTTTCAAGGTAATACTTCGAAGGTCGTAATAGTTTTGCAAATACAGATATTACCTGAACAAATAAAACACCATGGATTACAATGTATCCGTGCTGCTTATAGTGGCCAAGTTTCCATTTGATGAACGAGATACAGAGAAATGCGAGGGCACTGCCCTGGGAAAGGGCCGTAAGATATTAAGTCTTGAAATATACACGCACCTGCTGTAAGAGACAATGTGGCCCAAAACACCAGTAGAGCTTTATACAACATTCTGTAGAAGTCTGAAACAAAACAAATTACCAATAAGCTTGCATGTATATATGACGTACCGCAACGTAAGTGAGTGAGTTTGGTTTAACGCCGCTTTTAACAGTATTCCAGTTATATCGCGGCGTGTCAGCTTAATGTGGGAGGAAAGGACGAAGTGATGCAGGTGTCAGACGTTTACCACTTCGGTGAAACCCACGAGCCCGGGTATGGTGCTGACAAACCTAGAAACATAATCGTGGCGAACCGGGATTCGAACCCACAATCATAGGTTTTTGGCGTGCCCAAGGGACGCAACTCTGCACAGCGAATCGCGGCGCCTTAGACGACTGGGCCACCCGTGCCCCCCGTACGGCAACGAGTAAGATCACAAACTGCCAGGTAATTGAAAGTGTACACTTATAATTGGAATTGACAAAACATTATACACGTTACTCAAACGTTACAAGGCTGAAACCAGTCATCGTAACAATGCCAACGTAAGGTCCCAAACCCAACAATGACTCACGTATTATACCATTTTATGTTTGTTTCACTTTTGAGCCAACATCAAACATGAGTGTGTACTTTCTTTCCCCAGTCGGTTTAGTCGATATTCTAGCACCCAGTACAGGTAGTGTGAAGCGTTTCCGGATCCTGGTGATATGGACAACCTGGTTCCCGATTCTGACGTTATCCCAGAACGCGGCCTACATACACGGAAATATCGCCCTGCACTCCTTCTCACTGAACAAAAAGGCCCGTGGCCCACAAGTACTGAATAAATTGAAGAAGTGAGGACTCTCATTCCTTTATATATACACATCATGAAACCAACATGTAACAAATTTCAATTAATGAAAGTATTCCACTTCAACAAATACCAAATAAACATACATAAACAATGGTGCAATGTGTGCACTGTTCAACTTACCTGTGAGGAGTCTAGTCGCAAAAGCTGAACGTATCCAGAAAGTTGTTTCGTCTTACTTATATACCCACATCCCGCCATCTACCCGAGGCATGGCACCCTTATCTCACGCAGAGGTACATCACTGGTCAACTTCTCCCCCTGGGCAGTTGGTCACTCGCGTCCCTGGCCGGAGAGCCACCCCCAGGGGTGTTACAGGGTAGAATGAACAGGTAATGCAATCAGGCTACACTGTTATGGCGCTTGTTATCGACAGCAGCATCACCAGAGTTACAGCATGTATAGCCCAGCCTCTTTATAAACAATGTAGATCGCAGATAAGACACCATCATTTCTTACGATATTGAAAGATGACAAATGTCATACCCTATCAGTCATGTAAATATGTAATATTAGCCAGCGTGGGTAATGTTAATAGATTTAGTTTTGTCTTCTCTTTCACATTTACATTTTCTTGTTTCAGTTCGCTGAAGTTAATGTGATGGATCGCGATTTCTAACTGTCTACTCAGAATATCTATCATACGTGAAAAATTTCTTAATTACACAACTGACTATATGGATATCTGACGCGCTGACTTGCAGTATGAGCGTGAAGCGCATGTTGCTGTGAAGAAGCTCTCACCGTCTCGACGCTATAGTTACATGGAGTGACGCCAGAACACAAACAGCACGACGACACTCCGAGATGACAGTGTTAATAGGCAACAAAAACACATCCATAGTAATTTTGCGCGTGACATAACAAACCCTTGACTTTGTACGAGTCGACCCCCGTGCACATTGTATTTAATATATAGGTTGTGGAGTTATCTGGGCGTGGTTGGCATCCACCCGTATGTCGAGATGCTGTTATTAAGGGCGGGGGAACAGCTAGCGACGTTATCTGGGTGTGGTTGGCATCCACCCGTATGTCGAGATGCTGTTATTAAGGGCGGGGGAACAGCTAGCGACGTTATCTGGGCGTGGTTGGCATCCACCCGTATGTCGAGATGCTGTTATTAAGGGCGGGGGAACAGCTAGCGACGTTATCTGGGTGTGGTTGGCATCCACCCGTATGTCGAGATGCTGTTATTAAGGGCGGGGGAACAGCTAGCGACGTTATCTGGGCGTGGTTGGCATCCACCCGTATGTCGAGATGCTGTTATTAAGGGCGGGGGAACAGCTAGCGACGTTATCTGGGTGTGGTTGGCATCCACCCGTATGTCGAGATGCTGTTATTAAGGGCGGGGGAACAGCTAGCGACGTTATCTGGGCGTGGTTGGCATCCACCCGTATGTCGAGATGCTGTTATTAAGGGCGGGGGAACAGCTAGCGACGTTATCTGGGCGTGGTTGGCATCCACCCGTATGTCGAGATGCTGTTATTAAGGGCGGGGGAACAGCTAGCGACGTTATCTGGGTGTGGTTGGCATCCACCCGTATGTCGAGATGCTGTTATTAAGGGCGGGGGAACAGCTAGCGACGTTATCTGGGCGTGGTTGGCATCCACCCGTATGTCGAGATGCTGTTATTAAGGGCGGGGGAACAGCTAGCGACGTTATCTGGGTGTGGTTGGCATCCACCCGTATGTCGAGATGCTGTTATTAAGGGCGGGGGAACAGCTAGCGACGTTATCTGGGCGTGGTTGGCATCCACCCGTATGTCGAGATGCTGTTATTAAGGGCGGGGGAACAGCTAGCGACGTTATCTGGGTGTGGTTGGCATCCACCCGTATGTCGAGATGCTGTTATTAAGGGCGGGGGAACAGCTAGCGACGTTATCTGGGCGTGGTTGGCATCCACCCGTATGTCGAGATGCTGTTATTAAGGGCGGGGGAACAGCTAGCGACGTTATCTGGGTGTGGTTGGCATCCACCCGTATGTCGAGATGCTGTTATTAAGGGCGGGGGAACAGCTAGCGACGTTATCTGGGCGTGGTTGGCATCCACCCGTATGTCGAGATGCTGTTATTAAGGGCGGGGGAACAGCTAGCGACGTTATCTGGGTGTGGTTGGCATCCACCCGTATGTCGAGATACTGTTATTAAGGGCGGGGGAACACAACAAACATGCTATTGCTACACGTGCACCGGCATCTAATCAGTCAGACATCAACTTCAATTAACACGTGGTCCAGTAGATTGAGCGTCTGCCTGGAAAGAGCGGAAGGTCGTTGTTCGATCTGTGGTCGGTGGTACACTGTGTCTCGGTGGGGTATTCACGTCAACACCGCGGCATGGTTTCTCGGGGGTCTAGCACTATAAAATAAGCATACGTCCGGTGAGTGATTGAGTGGGTATGAGTTTACGCTGCTTTTAGCAATATTCCAGCAATAAGACCGCTAAGGCACTCCAGAAATGTGTTTCACGACTTGTACCCAGTATACGTCCGGAATAGTACAGACACACACACATACTATGACTGTGTTCGCCCCGGTTCGCCCCGATTATGTTTCTAAGTTTGTCAGCACCACTACCTGTGTTCCTGGATTTCACCAAAGTGATAAACGTCTGAGACCTGCATCACTTCGAGCTTTCCTCTCACATTAAGCTGACACGCCGCGATATAACTGGAATATTGTTCAGAGGAATTAAACCCAACTCACGCCTTTACAAGAAGTATATGATGGCATGTCGGATAGCCCAAAGCTCCTTCAGATCGTAGACTTTCCGCGTTCTGGTGAAACCTGGGGAAGTTCGGAAAGACAAAGGATTGTTTGTTTGTTTGTTTGTCTGTTTGTTGTTTAACGCCGCACTCAGCAATATTCCAGCTATATGACGGCGGTCTGTATATACTCGAGTCTGGACAAGACAATCCAGTGATTGACATCATGAGCATCGATCCACACAACTGGGATACGATGACATGCATCAGCCACAATCAACGAGTCTGACCACCCAATCCCGTTAGTCACCTCTTACGACAAGCATGGTCGCCTTCTACTGCAAGCAAGGGTTGCTGAAGACCAATTCTACGCCGGATCTTCACGGGCCGAAAGACCAAAGATGATAATCGGGGGGAAACTGAGACTCGAACGGCTGTGGGACAAACGAGTGAGTGAGTGAGTGAGTGAGTGAGTGAGTGGGTGAATGGGATTTGGGTGAGTGAGTGAGTGAGTGAGAGAATATATACAACCGAATCCCACGTACCAAGAGGGGGTTGGCAGCCTCACTCACTGTGTCCCTCTCAGTATTGCGGTAATCGTCCTGACATATGTCATACATTTCAGGGTTTAACTAAAACTAAAACATATCGAGAATTTTTAGAACTACCAGACCAAATGTGACGTGTTCTGCACACATGTTATGAATATGGGGGTTTCGTTTAATATAAGACTGAACGACTAACAACACAGGGGAGACATGTAAAACATACGTGCCAGACAATAGTAGGCGAAATTAAAAAAATAATTCCAGTACAACTACCCAGAAACCAGCATGTCCTATCGTATTTTTCAAATAAGTATTACAGATTGACCACGGCGGCATGACCAAGAGACGCCGTGCTTCCTATAGGTTAAAGACATTTGTTATCAAATGAAATGATGCCTCTTCCAATACATATTCATGAAGACATCTCTCCGACTTTACCGTCGTGATTCACAATTTGCACGTGCATATGAATGCACGAAACACATTTTGGATGTCTGCTGTTTGTTGGGGGCATTGCGCGTGTCGCCCACGTGTGACGTCACGTCAGCAAAATGTATACTCGCGATCAAGCCCGGGAGGTAGTTCGCCTTGTAATCCAAGATGGGTGGCACATTGAACAAATGTTTGCCTTTAACCGGAATCGAACTGATGTCTAAAGACAAATCTATAAAATCTTAATTGTCTTTTTAATATAGTGAACCTTGAATATCTGGACAGAGAATAGATCTTCAGCAACCCATGTTTGTTGTAAGAGGTGAGTAAGGGGATAGGGTGGTCAGGCTCGTTGACTTGGTTGATGCATGTCATCATGTCCCACTTGCCTAGATCGATGCTCATGGTATCAATCACTGGATTGTCTGTTCAAGACTTGATTATATATAGACCGCCGTCATATAGCTGGAACATTGCTGGGTGCGGCGTTATCGTGAACATCAAAGTATGACATCATACTAAATGTGTGAACTTCTGTGACTTCTATTTCAAACAACTATAGCTATTTATTGGCAGACTTGGGCAGTACAAATGACAACCAGATTTGACAAAAGATGTTATAACTCTCCCTGTTTCAACATGCGGCGCCTTGTTCGACGTCTTGAATGATTACATAACTAATTGTAATGTTCCCAGTAAATGTAAATGGACTAGTCTTGTGAATGAAAAAATAAGAAATGTAGATTCTGTAATGCTTGTGAAACAAACGGACATGACCTGTTTAGATATATTAGAATCAGATCAGAAGGTCAACACAGAATTCGGCAATTTTCGCTACGCTTTCCTTCAAAGTTTTATGTTCTGTCTGATATGGTGAAAAAAGGATGTTCCGGGATAGAATCGCGAGAATGTCATTACTAAACTGTAGCCCCTGACATAGTCAAACACATTTTTATGTCATGTACTATTAATATGAAGGAAAGAAATGAAATGTTCGAAAATATCTTTGATATCACAGATGCGAAATGCTTTGTTGACCTTTGGTCCAATTATGATGATGTTATCATGTCTTTCCTCTGAGGTGGCCTGCCTGATTGCATGAAAAACCTTGAGCCTGACATATGGGACCAAACTATGTAACTAGTCTCTCACTATGTTAACAAGTTGCAGCATGTGTTCATACCCCCTCCACTATGACATGTAACTACATTGTTCAGTTTTAATCAATATTCATGTATCTATCTTAAATAATGCATCTTCAATACTGGAGGAAATAAAGACAATCTATCTATCAATCGATCTGGCGACGCCATTATGGATGCTGTGCCGTGAGAGCCAGCACTCTCAGCTCAGCAAGGACTCGTATTGCCTCGCTGTACGCTCGCGCGATCTCCCGCCCCCTGAACATGCGCCCCTGACCTCGACGTCCAGCCATACGCCCAATATTGCGTCCACATCACCGTCAGTCACACCTAGCTCGGTGTAGGCAGCTTCTGAGATTCCGAAAACAAGACTTGGATAGTATACTGTTTGCAGAGGAGTTCAGGTTTAAACTGGGCACCTCTGATGCTCATGCATGGGTCTACCGGCGTCCTGGAGAACGTCTTAGCGAAGTGTAACGGTATGGGGTGGCATAACAACCCGTGTAAGAACACAATGGAAATTTGAATGGAGTACGTTGCCGGGACAACATCGTTCGTGATCGTGTTCGACCCTTTGTGCAAATGCAGGGACGTAACGTCACGTTGCCCGCATGTTGCACGTGTTGTAACAAACGTTTTAAGGCAGCTTAACATTGCTGTACTGCTATGACCGGCTGTTTATCGAGACCCCTCTCTCACAGATCATGTATGGGATGAGAAAGAACGACGCTTACGACAGAACTAGAACCAGCCGGTAACGCTTGCTCAGTTGGGCCTACCTATGGTTGACATTTCGAACAACATCCCCGAGGCTGTTTTCTATCATCTGGTGTCTTCAAGGCACAGCCGCCGCCTGTATCAACGTAAACGGTGGTCACACCTGTTACTGACACCGTTAATCGAGTTGTGTCACCACTCCTAAGTTAGGGTGTGTCGGTCCTTCTGTAACCAAGGGTGGTTTTCGTAGATCAATTTAGTTATGATAAAACATTCATCAGACGAGTAGCCAAATTTGTTATGACCAACATAACGTTTACGCTTGTATACAATGGTAGTTTTGAAAAATAACACGCGTGCACAAGTGATAACGATTAGAAAAATATAAACAATAATAAATGTATTAATTTATAACATTGATATATATATCTATATATCTATCTATATATATATATATATATATATATATATATATATATATATATATATATATATATATATTCTGGAAAAAAAGATGTGTAATAGTCCGATTATAATTACCAAAGGAATGTGTTTGTTTGTTGTTTAACGCCGCGTTAGCAGGGGAGATTTGGAAGAGGTGGAAATATGATATTTGATTATAAGGCTAGTGGACACACATGCCTCGGGAAGATGGGAAACAACAAGTACCATCTTTGACGTGTTTTGGTATAACGAGGCTCGGAATCGAACCACCTACCTTCCGCTCTCCGCACTATCCATTTGACTAGGGAGGTGGCTCAAACATCAAGGAAGCTTGTGAACTTGGTTTTGCCTCTTTGGAATGGCGTGGCATCGACCATGGGTTTATGTTTTTTTTATATTCCGCCAAACTAAAGGTCATATGTGATGTTAATGTTCTCTCACTTGTAATGATTACATGCAGAGTAAGGATATGAATGTACCTCTCCTTCTTCACCTTGTGTAGGTATACCCTGACAGCCATGTGAAGCTGCTCATCACACATCACCCCGCGTGGTGTTGTTCTATTTGGAGGCAGTATGTCGTCATCAATTATTTCTGGACACACACTGCATTGTTGGCGCCATAGTGTGGGGTTAGGGATGTTTTCTGGCAGTGCAACTCCAGATTGAAACAGACCGAGGCTTTACATGGTACCAAAGGTTTGTTTGTTTGTTGTTTAACGAAGCACTCAGCAATATGCCAGCTATATGACGGCGGTCTGTAAATAATCCAGTCTGGACTTGACAATCCAGTGATTGACATCATGAGCATCGATCCACACAGTTGGGATACGATGACATGCATCAACAATCCTCTTTCGCCTTTTACACACACACACACACACACACACACACACACACACACACACACACACACACACACACACATACATACATACATAAATATATTTATATATATATATATATTATTCATCGGTTCCGACCAGAAGTACCGGTTTTGTACCTACAATGCTCAATTAACAAGATATATTTACAAACAACATAACGCTATGAACAATTGGGTGTTTCATGTCTTTAAAAAGACAAAATAAATCTCAAAATAATGTTTCAAAAATAGAATGTGCACATTTCATACATTGCAGTTCCTGTATAATTTCATACATTGCAAGTGTTTTATATATATATATATGTATGTACATAATTATTTTATACATAATGTATGCAAATAATCAATAATGGACATGAGAAATTAGTGAATGATATCATAAGCAAAGTTCCGCGTCGCCGAAGACACAAAATAAACCGAGTCACTGATGTTTCCAGCCGAGTGTCTGCCTCTTGTTTTACCCCAGCCACCTCGAGCTGAAGATAACTATGGAGGAACACACTTGAACATGAATGTAGTAATTCCCTGATCACCATACTACATATGTTCCTGTAGCGAGGTCATGGTGACGTCACTGATGAACACCTCGAGCTACAATGTAACGGCAACATGAACTGACACTGATACGTTGTGACGCCATTATTACTGTACGTCACTATACATAACGTCAGCAATGGTCTGAATATCAATGCCGTAGGACGTGTGAAGCCAATACTACACGTGATCCGTATATGGATAATGGTACAGGAGCATGCATGTCTCACTGATTTTAAGAAAAGAGTGCCAGAAAACTTGTATTTCAAGAGCAAGGTTACGAGCAATGGTAAGACATGAATTCTTACACGAGTTTCGTAAATATTCATTCGAAGCACATGTATGACACACATGCTTGTATAATCAACTCTATATATTTTCTGGAAAATTGGGAAGGAATGTTAGCTACACGTAGACCGGTTGTTCATATTTTGACGAGTGTGGTGCATGTGCATGTGCATGTGCATGTGAAGACAGGTTCCTGTGCATTCTGCATAGGGATGTTCCAACATCCCCACAGAGATAGATGTGCACACTTAGCTTGTATCTCATATCACAGCCTGATTTTACAGCTGATGAACCATATAGTTTCAGATAAAATACTGCGAGTACTGGAATAAATACATTATATTTAGGGAGGTCCGAGAAATGAATACGTATTTGAACTTGACGAGGGGACACAGTTAGACAAAGCTTCTCTAGTCGTCTGAATATCTGTCCTCTGATCTGTAAAAGTCGTACGCCTCATTAAACCCGGGGTTTTGGTACTGCGTGTAGCCCCTGTACACGGTGTATGGCGACCTCGGGTAGTCGGGGTAGGTGGATGTCCTGTCCATGGCGGAGTGTTTGTCCTTGTCGACGCTGGCTCGTGAACGTCTGAGAGGAAACAGGCACAAGTAACGACATCAGCAACAGCATCTCTGCAGCAACGGACATTTCTCTGCTCATGGAGAGACTGATTCTCACATATTGAGAGCGAGGATAAAGCGTTTGGTTTTGAATAAACACTACTAGTTCCATACAACTTTTATTGATTTTGTCACTCTTGAATTTATAATGTGTTTATCAAACAAAAACTAGCGCCAATCGAACTGATGCTCACAAATCACATTCCGCATGCTGTGAAAGACAATGTTTAGGCGTCCACTAACGCCTTATGTTGTTGTGTACTACACGTTCTATTGATGATGAGTTTCATTTTATCTTGGAATGTCCTTATTTTCAGTCAAGTAGAGAAATGTTGTTGCCGCCCTATTATTATATTAATCCTTCCATTAATAACTTATCCCAACTTCTCGCATCAGCGAACCCTGTAGTTATTAAAAGTAGGTCTTTATATCTACGTATCTAAGAATCCTACCAAGATAACGAAGATAGCTGCATGTGTAGTATTACTTGTATAGTAAAAACAGTTCATTTCGGCAATACCTAATATTACTTATATGTATGACAAAAAATGCAAAGTGCGCTTTTGAAACAAAATATCGATTTGGTTAGTTCGAGAAGCACTCACTGCTAACTGCTAACTCACCCGCAGTCACCTGACTTCCGATCCGAACACGGATTGTAACCACGTGATGAAATCTCAATGATGATGTTTATCGCAACAAGTGCACTTTGTACTTTTATTCCTTACTGTAATATTTCTTATTGCCAGAAAGACTTGTTTTAGTGCTTCTGTTTCCAATGCGAGGAAAGCAGCTGGTAAACGGGCCAGTCGACTGTACTCCCCAGTGGAGTGATTCATGGCATGATGTGAAAGGTTAGCATGGCATTAAGTAATTAAGATTTAAAGACACATTTTGTTATATTCCTGTCTATTTAAGGAGAGAAGTTCACCACTAATCTTAAGGCTGTGAATCAGCCGAAATATCACCACATGCGATTTCTTAGAAAACTAGTTTTAGATATTTCAACCATTTTAATGTTTTTAGAGTGAAATTGAAACACAATTCATCTTCAAGTATAAAAAACCCACCTCGCTTCAAACTGTGTCAACTGTCTAAGTTATGTGGTTTCATAGCAGATATTTAAACATTTATAGGGTTAACTTTCAACCATTTAACAAGCGTTTTAATATCCCAGGCTTAGTGGTTTCTGAAAACAATGGGGGGCACGGGTGGCCCAGTCGTCAAAGGCGCCGCGATTCGCTGTGCAGAGTTGCGTCCCTTGGACACGCCAGAAACCTATGATTGCGGGTTCGTATCCCGGTTCGCCCAAATTATGTTTCTAGGTTTGACAGTACCATACCCGTGCTCGTGGGTTTCACCGAATTGGTAAACGTCTGAGGCCTGCATCACTTCGGGCTTTCCTCCCACATTAAGCTGACACGCCGCGATATGACTGGAATACTGTTAAAAGCGGCGTTAAACCCAACTGACTCACTCACTCTGAAAACAATGACTGTATTTGATTATAGATTTTATTTTGAAAGGAATCCGATTACCGTGAGGTTGATGTCCTATCATCGGATGAATACTTAGACATATTCATAATTTGTTCTAATGTACTTCTGATCTCACACATCCCACTATCCCACTCCTTCTCCCTTGACATTTTTATGGAATTTCGGCCCTGGGCAGCTACGAATAAAGCCTAAACTATACCTACACGCGGAGTTACCCTCGTGTTTACTCCTAACATCCTGAAGTATTAAGAAGCCTAACATTACAATATACAGCAAGCACAACAACGTTGTTCCACCACAGACACCTACCTGTGGCAGTAACAGCCTATAGCCAGGCCGGCGATAAGCAGGACGAAGAGGCCGACAGAGACGCCGACGATGACCCAAGGCAGGTTTGACTCAACAGCTGTGAGAAGGGGAACCATGAACAGTTAAAGGATACGACAAACTTGTCAACCCCCAAGTCCCCAGAAAAACCGCATATTTCCACCACACATTGCCCGATTCAGTCTGAGAGAGCAGTATAGTGATGAGGCCAGACCAGCATCAACATGTTAACAGTTAGGAGAAGCCAGTACCATGAGAAACAAAACAAGGTCCTCTAACATCGAGAACCAGTAAAGTATTTGGTTAACATGAAGTGGATACAACTTGAAACACATGCAACATTCAACTGCCATAGCAGCCATGGTGATGCCCGGTCAACGCCGGACAGTGCAGGTGTCACCGGTGTAGTATGTTCTGTGTGTGGTGTGATCAACAGTTACTCTCATCGCCAGACAGTGCAGGTGTGACCAGTGTAGTATGTTCTATGTGTGGTGTGTTCAACAGTTACTCACATCGCCGGACAGTGCAGGTGTCACCGGTGTAGTATGTTCTATGTGTGGTGTGTTCAACAGTTACTCACATCGCCGGACAGTGCAGGTGTCACCGGTGTAGTATGTTCTATGTGTAGTATGTTCTATGTGTGGTGTGTTCAACAGTTACTCACATCGCCGGACAGTGCAAGTGTCACCGGTGTAGTATGTTCTATGTGCGGTGTGTTCTATGTGTGGTGTGTTCAACAGTTACTCACATCGCCAGACAGTGCAGGTGTCACCAGTGTAGTATGTTCTATGTGCGGTGTGTTCAACATTTACTCACATCACCGGACAGTGCAGGTGTCACCAGTGTAGTATGTTCTATGTGCGGTGTGTTCTATGTGTGGTGTGTTCAACAGTTACTCACATCGCCAGACAGTGCAGGTGTCACCAGTGTAGTATGTTCTATGTGCGGTGTGTTCAACAGTTACTCACATCACCGGACAGTGCAGGTGTCACCAGTGTAGTATGTTCTATGTGTGGTGTGTTCAACAGTTACTCACATCGCCAGACTGTGCAGGTGTCACCAGTGTAGTATGTTCTATGTGTGATGTGTTCAACAGTTACTCACATCGCCGGACAGTGCAGGTGTCACCGGTGTAGTATGTTCTATGTGTGGTGTGTTCTATGTGTAGTATGTTCTATGTGTAGTATGTTCTATGTGCGGTGTGTTCAACAGTTACTCACAACACCGGACAGTGTAGGTGTCACCGGTGTAGTATGTTCTATGTGTGGTGTGTTCAACAGTTACTCACATCGCCGGACAGTGCAGGTATCACCAGTGTAGTATGTTCTATGTGTGGTGTGTTCAACAGTTACTCACATCGCCGGACAGTGCAGGTATCACCAGTGTAGTATGTTCTATGTGTGGTGTGTTCAACAGTTACTCACATGACCGGACAGTGCATGTGTCACTGGTGTAGTATGTTCTATGTGTGGTGTGTTCAACAGTTACTCACATCGCCAGACAGTGCAGGTGTCACCGGTGTAGTATGTTCTATGTGTGGTGTGTTCAACAGTTACTCACATCGCCGGACAGTGCAGGTATCACCAGTGTAGTATGTTCTATGTGTGGTGTGTTCAACAGTTACTCACATCGCCGGACAGTGCAGGTATCACCAGTGTAGTATGTTCTATGTGTGGTGTGTTCAACAGTTACTCACATGACCGGACAGTGCATGTGTCACTGGTGTAGTATGTTCTATGTGTGGTGTGTTCAACAGTTACTCACATCGCCAGACAGTGCAGGTGTAACCGGTGTAGTATGTTCTATGTGTGGTGTGTTCAACAGTTACTCACATCGCCGGACAGTGCAGGTATCACCAGTGTAGTATGTTCTATGTGTGGTGTGTTCAACAGTTACTCACATGACCGGACAGTGCATGTGTCACTGGTGTAGTATGTTCTATGTGTGGTGTGTTCAACAGTTACTCACATCGCCGGACAGTGCAGGTGTCACCGGTGTAGTATGTTCTATGTGTGGTGTGTTCAACAGTTACTCACATCACCGGACAGTGCAGGTGTCACCAGTGTAGTATGTTCTATGTGCGGTGTGTTCTATGTGTGGTGTGTTCAACAGTTACTCACATCGCCAGACAGTGCAGGTGTCACCAGTGTAGTATGTTCTATGTGCGGTGTGTTCAACAGTTACTCACATCACCGGACAGTGCAGGTGTCACCAGTGTAGTATGTTCTATGTGCGGTGTGTTCTATGTGTGGTGTGTTCAACAGTTACTCACATCGCCAGACAGTGCAGGTGTCACCAGTGTAGTATGTTCTATGTGCGGTGTGTTCAACAGTTACTCACATCACCGGACAGTGCAGGTGTCACCAGTGTAGTATGTTCTATGTGTGGTGTGTTCAACAGTTACTCACATCGCCAGACTGTGCAGGTGTCACCAGTGTAGTATGTTCTATGTGTGATGTGTTCAACAGTTACTCACATCGCCGGACAGTGCAGGTGTCACCGGTGTAGTATGTTCTATGTGTGGTGTGTTCTATGTGTAGTATGTTCTGTGTGTGGTGTGATCAACAGTTACTCACATCGCCAGACAGTGCAGGTGTCACCGGTGTAGTATGTTCTATGTGTGGTGTGTTCTATGTGTAGTATGTTCTATGTGTAGTATGTTCTATGTGCGGTGTGTTCAACAGTTACTCACAACACCGGACAGTGCAGGTGTCACCAGTGTAGTATGTTCTATGTGTGATGTGTTCAACAGTTACTCACATCGCCGGACAGTGCAGGTGTCACCGGTGTAGTATGTTCTATGTGTGGTGTGTTCTATGTGTAGTATGTTCTGTGTGTGGTGTGATCAACAGTTACTCACATCGCCGGACAGTGCAGGTGTCACCGGTGTAGTATGTTCTATGTGTGGTGTGTTCTATGTGTAGTATGTTCTATGTGTAGTATGTTCTATGTGCGGTGTGTTCAACAGTTACTCACAACACCGGACAGTGCAGGTGTCACCGGTGTAGTATGTTCTATGTGTGGTGTGTTCAACAGTTACTCACATCGCCGGACAGTGCAGGTATCACCAGTGTAGTATGTTCTATGTGTGGTGTGTTCAACAGTTACTCACATGACCGGACAGTGCATGTGTCACTGGTGTAGTATGTTCTATGTGTGGTGTGTTCAACAGTTACTCACATCGCCAGACAGTGCAGGTGTCACCGGTGTAGTATGTTCTATGTGTGGTGTGTTCAACAGTTACTCACATCGCCGGACAGTGCAGGTATCACCAGTGTAGTATGTTCTATGTGTGGTGTGTTCAACAGTTACTCACATCGCCGGACAGTGCAGGTATCACCAGTGTAGTATGTTCTATGTGTGGTGTGTTCAACAGTTACTCACATGACCGGACAGTGCATGTGTCACTGGTGTAGTATGTTCTATGTGTGGTGTGTTCAACAGTTACTCACATCGCCAGACAGTGCAGGTGTAACCGGTGTAGTATGTTCTATGTGTGGTGTGTTCAACAGTTACTCACATCGCCGGACAGTGCAGGTATCACCAGTGTAGTATGTTCTATGTGTGGTGTGTTCAACAGTTACTCACATGACCGGACAGTGCATGTGTCACTGGTGTAGTATGTTCTATGTGTGGTGTGTTCAACAGTTACTCACATCGCCAGACAGTGCAGGTGTCACCGGTGTAGTATGTTCTATGTGTGGTGTGTTCAACAGTTACTCACATCGCCGGACAGTGCAGGTATCACCAGTGTAGTATGTTCTATGTGTGGTGTGTTCAACAGTTACTCACATGACCGGACAGTGCATGTGTCACTGGTGTAGTATGTTCTGTGTGTGGTGTGATCAACAGTTACTCTCATCGCCAGACAGTGCAGGTGTCACCAGTGTAGTATGTTCTATGTGTGATGTGTTCAACAGTTACTCACATCACCGGACAGTGCAGGTGTCACCCGTGTAGTATGTTCTATGTGTGGTGTGTTCAACAGTTACTCACATCGCCGGACAGTGCAGGTGTCACCAGTGTAGTATGTTCTTTGTGTGGTGTGTTCAACAGTTACTCACATCGCCGGACAGTGCAGGTGTCACCAGTGTAGTATGTTCTATGTGCAGTGTGTTCAACAGTTACTCACATCGCCGGACAGTGCATGTGTCACTGGTGTAGTATGTTCTATGCGTGGTGTGTTCAACAGTTACTCACATCGCCAGACAGTGCAGGTGTCACTGGTGTAGTATGTTCTATGTGTGGTGTGTTCAACAGTTACTCACATCGCCGGACAGTGCAGGTGTCACCAGTGTAGTATGTTCTATGTGTGGTGTGTTCAACAGTTACTCACATCGCCGGACAGTGCAGGTGTCACCGGTGTAGTATGTTCTATGTGTAGTATGTTCTATGTGTGGTGTGTTCAAAAGTTACTCACATCGCCGGACAGTGCAGGTGTCACCGGTGTAGTATGTTCTATGTGCGGTGTGTTCTATGTGTGGTGTGTTATATGTGTGGTGTGTTCTATGTGTGGTGTGTTCTATGTGTGGTGTGTTCAACAGTTACTCACATGACCGGACAGTGCATGTGTCACTGGTGTAGTATGTTCTTTGTGTGGTGTGTTCAACAGTTACTCACATCGCCAGACAGTGCAGGTGTCACCGGTGTAGTATGTTCTATGTGCGGTGTGTTCTATGTGTGGTGTGTTATATGTGTGGTGTGTTCTATGTGTGGTGTGTTCTATGTGTGGTGTGTTCAACAGTTACTCACATGACCGGACAGTGCATGTGTCACTGGTGTAGTATGTTCTTTGTGTGGTGTGTTCAACAGTTACTCACATCGCCAGACAGTGCAGGTGTCACCGGTGTAGTATGTTCTATGTGTGGTGTGTTCTATGTGTAGTATGTTCTATGTGTAGTATGTTCTATGTGTGGTGTGTTCAACAGTTACTCACAACACCGGACAGTGCAGGTGTCACCAGTGTAGTATGTTCTATGTGTGGTGTGTTCAACAGTTACTCACATCGCCAGACAGTGCAGGTGTCACCGGTGTAGTATGTTCTATGTGTGGTGTGTTCAACAGTTACTCACATCGCCGGACAGTGCAGGTATCACCAGTGTAGTATGTTCTATGTGTGGTGTGTTCAACAGTTACTCACATCGCCGGACAGTGCAGGTATCACCAGTGTAGTATGTTCTATGTGTGGTGTGTTCAACAGTTACTCACATCGCCGGACAGTGCAGGTGTCACCAGTGTGGTATGTTCTATGTGTGGTGTGTTCAACAGTTACTCACATCGCCGGACAGTGCAGGTGTCACCGGTGTAGTATTCATTGCAGTCGCAGATAACTAATCCATCTGTACCGTCCCTACAAACGCCGCTATTTTTACAATATCCTTCGTCCAGTTTACACTTGGCTGCAAAGAGTATAGAAAAGTCTGTGACATTTATTGTTATTGTGTTACAGAACTAAGTATACGTTGCGTGATTGGTATAAGCATTTGTTGACGTACAAAAGAAAGTCCGAAAGACTTTGGGAGCGACTGAAACAAAGCTTGAGAATGCTAGCATTATTACATACATTCAATATATGGCGTTTGGCGTTTCGGTATCATATGAACACAATGGCACACTAAAAGTAGCAGACTTTTACTAGTAACAATGACACAAACATATAGGGGTCACAGAGAGATTATTCACGTTGTCCTTGTCAAAACACAGGTGAAACAAGAGTTTGCCACTTACGTGGCTATACCCCCCGACCCTGTTGCAGAATTTAAAACATAATTAAATCTAAACAAACCCTAACCTTTTTTAACCGAGGTGGAACTTGTCATGGAACTTGTAAAAAAAAGAAGAGTTTGGAACCTACGTCAATCTTGTTGCCATGGAAACGTAAAAAATATAAATTTCTAAAATTTCTAAATAGCAAAAGGCACCAGTTCAGCATGTACCTGACAGACCTGCAACGTTTGATGAAAAAATATATTGAACGGTGTATGAGTTATGTTCCGGAAACGAAACGTGACGGACGGACGAACGGACTGACGGACGGAGCCCGTTTCTATATCCCCCGCCAACTTTGTTGTGTGGGGGATAATAATAAACTTGTTAGTCACTACATAATCGTAAATCGTCGGCTTTATATTGAGTATGTCCATTCCGTGCATCAGTGCAGGCCCCATCCCTTGCGTCACCGATGACGTCAAATGCCCGTTGAAGTTAGCAGGGATGACGTCGCTCCAGGTCCTGGTGGTGGACTGGTGGTTCTGGTCGGCTTCCGGGTTTTATTTCAAGATGATCCCCCAAATGCTCGATTGGGTTCATGTCAGGAAGCAATGCAGGCCATGGCAAAACATTAACGTTCATGTTGTTCATGAAATACTTGCAGTTTGGCTATCAAGCGTTATCATACTGACTATACCGTATGGCTGTTGTTGGATAAATGGCACAAAACTTCATCCTGACATCTCTGCGCAGTAACATTGCCTTGAGTATTAACCAGTATGGTTTTCATGTTTCCACAGATTCCTTTCCGGACCACGCCACAACCATTTCCAAAGGGTTGAACTTCCTGGTCTGGAACAGTTCTGCGTAAGGCTTTCACCTTGGCGTCTGTACACACGCTGTACAGCTCGAAAAAGGCGTTTGAGGGCAGGACTTTTCCCCACTCTCGGACCTGCCAACCATGTTCCCTCAATCTCGTTAACACTGTCTGTGGGCGACATGATGTCCAAATTCCGTTGAGGCCGTTACTGTCCCGGAGATAAGGCGGTTGCGGAGGTGACGTCCACGGATGTAACAGTCTTCAATGTGCGTGTGTTACAAACGTCTATTTGTCCTCTCCACCCCTCGCTCTCTCCCCCTTCCTACACAGTTTGCTCGACCCCCATGTGTATTATGATAAAGTATAGTTTTGCCCTGAAGTAACTATTAAAGCAGGATGACGTTCCGTTTGCCCTCACTCTATGAAGGTTCATACTCCAATGAAAGCATATAAAGTCAAAGTCTATTCTCTCTCTCACACACACACACACACACACACACACACACACACACACACACACACACACACACACATATATATATATATATATATATATATATATATAATATGCATCGGTTCCGACCAGAAGTACCGGTTTTGTACCTACAATGCTCAATCAACAAGATATATAAAGACAAAATAAATTTCAAAATAACGTTTCAAAAATAGAATATGCACATTTCATACATTGGATATTCCTGTAGTATTTCATACATTGCAAGTGTTTTATATATATATATATATATATATATATATATTATGTATGTACAGAATTATTTTATATATAATATATGTAAATAATCAATAATGGACATGAGAAATAAGTGAATGATATCATAAGCATGTTCGGTGATTATACGTCAATTATGTACACAAATACCAATCTATTGTAGCCATTGAATTAAAAAGAAATACAGATCTACTCACAAACGCAATCCGAGATGTTGGTGCTCCTGGTGGTGTCTGTGGAGCGCACACCAAGACAGACCTTACAAGATGTCTTCCCTGTCTGGTCCTGGTACTGACCGATGTCACAGTCCTGGCAGGCGTCCGTGGCTGTGTTGTGTCTTGTGCCGGCTGGGCAGGGCTCTGTAGTAACCACAGAGGATACGACTGTTATTCATTAAGTCGGGACATGTCTACTAAGCCTGCACTCACTACGACCAATTAGGCCTGTCACGTGGTCCTGGAGGGTACAAGTATGTTGTAAGATCGTGCCAACTATTGTGAATTAAAAACTGTGAAAATGTATGAGGCGACCACATCATCCCTTACAATTCAGTGACGTGAAGTAGCATGGATCACTAAACGAGTCGCCTTCTGATGACATTTTCATAATGGCTGTATTGTATCTTTCGAAGGAGAAAAAGTCACCCGTTAATGATCGTGGAGGACACATCGCTCGCTTTTATAAGGGATTGTATGGTCGTAATGTTGCCTTTTACATGCTAATGATCTTTAATGCGATAGGGGGCGGTCGGGTAGCCTAGTGGTTAAAGCGTTGGCTCGTCACGCCGAAGACCAGGGTTCGATTCCCGACATGGGTACAATGTGTGAAGCCCATTTCTGGTGTCCCCGCCGTGATATTGCTGGAATATTGCTAAATGCGGCGTGAAACCATACTCACTTACTCACTCACTTTACTGCGATACCTCGTCAATGTCTCAGATTAATCATGACAGGGAGATCCTAGCACGTGGGCCTGCTTCGTGTTAATGCCATGTGCCACTCATATCACTAGATATATTTGGCGATCACTTACCACAAATTCCGGACTTCATCACAAAGCCAGATGCACATGATATTGTCAGGGAAGTGATTGAGTGGTACCTAATCCCAGCCGCAACCTACAATACATGAATGTACACACACTATAACACAACATCTATGAAAGGAGGTCAGCCTGCTGCTGTTACTAGCACTTGTGGGATACATAGTCCTAACTGTAACTTTGTGTCTCAATGGCCGAGGTGGGATTGAAAAATCTATTTTCTATACCTCCATTTCAGAATGAGATCTGATTGGTCGACGTGACCTTGTTAAAATACGACACGACAGAACAGTGTGTCAAATGTGTTTGTGGCAGTGTATTTTATTGCTGAACAGTGATTGTAACTGTATTTCAGTGTCTCTGTTAAGACTCGGTAGAAGCTCATAGCATTGTTTTTGGACAGTGATTAGTTGTCAGGAATGAAGTACTGTTTAATGGAAGTCTTCATGGACTTGATGGAGTGGTATAGAAACATATGGATGTGTTGTGATGGCACAATGTGGAAATGTCTAGTAGCTAGTCAAACTGTAAATGAGGGCGTGTCTCTCGTATCTCTCACACATTTCATTAAATCAAGATCAGCTTTCTTGTGAAGATCACTCATCATCCCGGACTCCTTGCCTAGGCCTATCCCGGAAGCTGATAGAATATGCGTGAACACAATCAAATGAAATTAGACACAGTGATCGACAAAAGCATTTTCACATTGTCAGCATTAATTCAGTCCAGTCATTGCACATGTGTAGCCACAAGGGGGCGTCATAGTCAGTACCTGGTCACACCACCTATTGCAGCCGTCACTGCTTGACACCTCCTTGGCACAGATAGCACAAGTCGTCGGATGTTTTCGTGGGGATTTTTTCGCCATTCCTCCTGTAAGGCGTTGGCGAGTTGTGTTAGTGTGTGGGGACACTGGTGACGTTGACGGACGCGTCAATCAAGTTCGTCCCACAAATGTTCAATCGGGTTGAGATCAGGCGATTTGGATGGCCATGGAAGGACAGTGATGCTCTCATTAACAAGGAAATTAACTGTTGCACGTGCCGAGCGTTGTCATGTTGGAACAGCTCCCTCTGGCGGTCCAAAGTTGGGAGGAGGTGAGGACGCAGAATTTGGTCTATGTATCGGTTTACTGTAAAATTGTCCTGGACAACCACTAACTGTGAGCTACCCGTGTAGGATATGGCTCCCCACACCATGACACTTCCTCCACCAAATCGGTCCATCTGTCGAACGCTGTTCGGCGCAAAACGTTCATGTCGACGTCGGTATACACGTTGTCTTCCATCCCGTCGTTGAAGAAGAAAACGTGACTCATCGCTGAACCAAACGCGTCGCCTGTTCCTGAGATCCCATACCTGTACTCTGTTGCACCACCAGACACGTCGTTGACGGTGTAGACGTCGCAAGACAGGTCCAACTTTTGGTCGTCTCTCTCGAATTCCCACTTCCCTCAGACGATTTCTGTTCGTTTGGTTGGAAATTCTTCACATACCAGGCACTTTTCCTGCAGTGTCCATTGCTGTAGCAAATCGATTCCGAAGGTGATGCAACCGGATATACCGATCCTGAGCAGGGGTGGTCATGCTTGGTCTTCCACTTCTGGGATGATCTTGAGTCGAATAAGTGCGGGTATATCGATCCCACAGTCGAGATATGGTGCTTTGGTGAACGTTGAAGTGTCTTGCAACGGCAGACTGGGACTTCCCTGCTTCAAAACGTCCAATGGCGATATTGCGGTCAGCTGCAGTTAACATTGGCATTTTTCGATCTCCGTTCACTTGGGAAAATTCGTAATGAACTGATGAATTTTGTACGGGCTTTTATTGTCAGTGTCTCTACTCTTGTTTCCAACACTTTGCACGTGCATTGTGCTGAAAACGTTTTCTGAAAGCAATTTCCGTGCATCCTTTTCACTTTTCCTGATAAACATTTACAATAAACATTTTAAGATGACATGATCAACGGGAATCAAACATAAGAATTGTCTTTATGACGATTGCTGGTGAAAAAAATCTTATTGGAATTCTCAAAACACCTATGCGTTTCTTTTTTTTGAAGAGTGTACTACTATAACAGTGTCTTGGTCTACAACTAGAACTATGTGTCTAGATCTACTACAGAAAAAGCGTGCCAGATCGACTTCAAGAACGTTGTTTTCAGATGTACTCACCAGTGTTGGAGTGACAGCATCATTATCAGCTAGGGCCTGCGACAACACAGATTCTGGACTTCTACTCAAAGAGTTGTCCTTATTGGGAAGTTTCTCCCTGTAAAAGGAACACCGATTGTCGACACCATATCAACATGACAACAACAAAATGTAAATAGTTACCAGTTACAGACAATATCTGAACAGTTCTGCACATTTTGCCATTTTGACCGGATATCAGAATGAAGAGAATTGGCACCAACGGTAGATTTGACGCTGTTACGAGAGCAGTGACTGTTTCTCCTGTTTGTCTCTTCCTGCGGGTCCCTCCACACGGAACAAGGATGCTGACAGCAATGTTGGCACAGGAACTGTCCTGGCAGAGGTCCGGGAACTCGTTGTCCCGGGCGAGAACTAAGACATTAATCTGGAGAAGGATCGTGTCATGTATTAAGGCCGTGTTGACGCAGTCTGCTACTGTGAACATAATCTGCAACTTCACTGTCACCTGAGCTGGCGCGGGGGTAGTACCTGAAGCAAAACAAGGCAACACTCTGTAGTAACACAGTAGAACGCCATTATGTAACACAGTTGGATCAGGAGTGTAGTCTGCTAAATGCTTTACATCACAAGCTCTGTATGACTGTAGGCCGTCGGCCGCCTTGTGCGTGCCTTGTGTGCTGCATCACCTACACACCTGCATACAGCACTCACCTGGGTCATAACTACACACCTGCATGCAGCACTCACCTTGATCGTCACCTACACACCTGCATACAACACTCACCTGGAACGTCACCTACACACCTGCATACAACACTCACCTGGAACGTCACCTACACACCTGCATACAACACTCACCTGGAACGTCACCTACACACCTGCATACAACACTCACCTGGAACGCCACCTACACACCTGCATACAACACTCACCTGGGACATTACCTACACACCTGCATACAACACTCACCTGGAACGTCACCTACACACCTGCATACAATACTCACCTGGAACGTCACCTACACACCTGCATACAACACTAACCTGGAACGTCACCTACACACCTGCATACAACACTCACCTGGAACGTCACCTACACACCTGCATACAACACTCACCTGGAACGCCACCTACACACCTGCATACAACACTAACCTGGGACATTACCTACACACCTGCATACAACACTCACCTGGAACGTCACCTACACACCTGCATACAACACTCACCTGGGACATTACCTACACACCTGCATACAACACTCACCTGGAACGTCACCTACACACCTGCATACAACACTCACCTGGAACGTCACCTACACACCTGCATACAACACTCACCTGGAACGTCACCTACACACCTGCATACAACACTCACCTGGAACGCCACCTACACACCTGCATACAACACTCACCTGGAACGTCACCTACACACCTGCATACAACACTCACCTGGAACGCCACCTACACACCTGCATACAGCACTCACTTGGAACGTCACCTACACACCTGCATACAACACTCACCTGGGACGTTACCTACACACCTGCATACAACACTCACCTGGGACGTTACCTACACACCTTTAAACAACACTTACCTGGGACGTCACCTACACACCTGCATGCAACGCTCACTCACCTGGGAAGTCTAAGCATGTCTTTGATCCTGTAGATGCCGTAGTCTGACCAGAGGGGCAGAAGTAGCAGAAGTCGCTGACGCTTGGTTCCCGAATCTGACCGATTGGACATGGGTAACACGTGTCATTGAGCAGATTGTAGCTGTTTCCCTCGGGACAGTCAACTGAGAAATCAACATTCATTCACTTACAATCTCATCAGTTGCAGGACATGCCCACATTTTCAAAAACAACCTGGTACCATCACCATATGCATTTGCTAGTGTTTCACCCCCATATGCTTATGATATTGTCGGGATCGTTAAATGGTCAATGTTTTTTTTATCAGAGACTGCTAATAATTATGGAAATGGTTTTGCCGAGTTTTTTTTCCATAATGGCGTAATTTGAGGAAGTAATCGATGCACAGCGAGACATCACTATACAGAACAGTTTAGTTGACTTCCCTACTTTCCATCATATATCTCATGGCCTAAAGTACACTTTGAGCTGCTCGCTTCTACGGTGGCATGGTGTTTACATCTGTGTGGCTTTTCTTTGTGTTCGTGAGTGAACATTGCTTTGGATATTCAAAGCATCGGAAACCAGAAGCATTTGGAACGAAGTAGGGCTGACTTTAAGTACACGGTTCATTGTCTAGCTTATCTTTTCATGAGGCATTTATACTTATCACAAAGCGATAATGCAAATAATGATGAAATGTCTTGTTGGTTTGTTTGTTGTTTAACGCCGCATGACATATTACAGCTGTGTGACGACGGTCTGGACCAGATAATCCAGTGATTGACAATCCAGGACATTAATCCAATTGGGATACGATGACATGCATGAACCAAGTCAGCGAGTCTGACCACCCGATCCCGTTAGTCGCCTCTTACGACAAGCATAGTCGCCTTTTACATTAAGCATGGGTTGATAAAGACCTATTCTTCCCCGGATCTTCACGGGTTATTAAAAATACTACATATATTTTATCGATAAAAATCGACAGTTTATAATGAAATATAAAGTGCGGATGCATTTTGTCTTTTGAGAGATTGTAATATACAAGGTGGGGAGCATCATGAATATGACAAGCACTACTGGATGGTAAATATTTTCAGTACATAAGTACAAGAAAAACCTCTGACCACTCTAACATATCACTTACTCAGATTACAGGCGCTCTGGCTAGTGGAAGCTTCTGCTTGTGTGGTCTTGTCAGCATCACACTTGGTGCAGTTCTCTGTGCCAATACTGGCCTTGTAGTAACCTCTAGGACATGGTGTGCACGTGTCTGTATTATGGGCGAAGAATCCCGGCTCACAGTTCACTGGAGGGTAAACAGCACGCATACTCTCAGGTAGGGTCATCAATGTGTAAATAGTGTTCTGTAGACAATACTGAAGGTACATGCGTCCAAATTAGAATCAAACTATCAAACAACGGCTTTTTAATGTACACTGATCACTATCAGGACCTGGGAACTGGATATATAGCCACAACAGGATGTACTATGTAAGGATAAGATATATGGATGAACAACTGTATTACAACTGGAGCGACGTTTCGCTGTAGGTTCAATCAAGTGATGAAGTTGTTCATCCATATATCTTATCCTTACTTAGTACTCAAACTTCTAAGTGCCTCTCAAAGAAGCAACAGGGTGTGTCTAAATGAAGTGTAGCAGAGTAACAGCTAGATGACAACACACGACGGGTTTAAACTGAAATCCTTACAGTACACCTCTAGACATTTATAGACTGACTATTGCATACATACTTTGATTACAGTCTTTTACATCTCCAGTATAAGTGGCCGCTGTGGTGTAGTTCCTTGGACAAGGCGTACAGGAGGTGTTGCCTCTGGTGTCCTTGTAGAAGCCCTTGGAACAGACAGTGCACGTCATCTCGACCGAGTCATAACCAACACCACTGTCACAGAACACTGAAACATGACGGTATAGTTTTGACCAGAACTACAATCGGCTGTCGTCAACTACAATTTTAACTGTACGGAACGTTGTTTCTGACCAGACGATCGTCTGTAACTGCCGTTCATGACGTAGTGAACACCGCCATTCTGACGGGTATGGAGTGACCTACGTACTGACGTTGCAACTGGTTCTCGGCGCGACAGACGTGACGTTGCCGGCACAAGCCGTGCAGACGGAGTGCCCAGACTGGTCTTTGAATGTGTCTTCGGGACAAGGGGAGCACGTGCCATTCTGTCCCTGTTGCCCGGGACCACAAGAAACTGAACAAAAAATGGTAAATTGATGCGTTGACGTTTAATTAAATGTGGCATTCATAACTCTTCGATATCTAATCGATAACGTCCACCCATCATTATCAGTGTAGCCATAGCGGAAGAAGGTGTCGATCTAACAGCTTTACTTTCTACATCGAGCAGGGAAATGAAATCAGTTTAAATTGGTGAATCAAAATAATTGGCAATCAGAGAAATTACACTTACAATGTATACTTCAGTGATCTGCACCATCAACGTCAAAATACAACATCCCGTTTGCCTACTCCATTGGAACATCGCATAACAACATCATCACCTGTACATGTAGCCGATTCGATATCACTCAATAACCGATAGGGATTACCGTAAAATATTGTTCTACACCAGCCTGTTGAAGGATTGGCCGTGTAACATGCGACCATGTTGTTCTAAGAAATCAAAAGTTATAGCTTCTGCTGTTAAGTGATTAACGTTTGAGGTACAAATCAAGCATGCTCTTTCTATCATTATTTCAAAGAGCGTCATACGACTCTTGCTCAGAAGTTGTTTGATCAAGGTAACAACATTCAAGGCCCCAGTAAAGCTTTCATATGTTCCAGTGTGGTTTTTTTCAGGTGAAAAATTGACTTACCTTTGCATGTGTTTGTGATGAGTGCCACTGATGGGGCAGAATGTAATCACTTTTTCGGGAACACCTGATAGTAGCACCAGTCGACATTGACTCGTAAACACATGCTCATCATATAGTCGGAATCGTACAGTCGATTGCTTTTGGCAGTAGTTTCTTTTGAAAATGAAACAGGTTTTGTTTTATTAACAGTGGATGCCACGTACTTGTACACTGATCTCTGGACGTAGAGGCGGTTGTTGATGTATTTTGGTCAGGGCCACAAGGCTCGCATGTGTCCTGTGCCGGAAGAGGCTGATACTCTCCATGTCCACAAGGTTCACAGCTGCTTCCATTAATTTGGTATCCAGGTGAACAGTTTCCTTGAGGCAAAGAAAACACATTGACCATTATGACTATTGAAACACCTGTGACGTAAAATACTTTTTTAAACAATTCAATTTTGTCACATATGGACTTTTTTAATTAGTGCACCTTGGACTAGAAGGAACTATTTTCTTTACTTTGTCACTCATGAGAATGTTTACTCATAATTAAGTCAATAAACAGTGTCCTCGTCGTGAGTCGACCTCGCATCGTCTGATTTATGAACGTGTAATAGTCGACCTTCGCTTGAAATCAACTATTATATATTTGAAGCTTTGTATAATCCTCAACAAGTTCGATTATAATATGTATATGCATGAGAAAAGCACATGTCTCTGTTCCTTGTGAGGATGAATGGGTACTCAGTAGGATGACATGGTAATGTCACTGTTAACCTCCTAGCGCTTGGTTTGTATATTCCCCAGGGAATTATAATTATCTCTATTATTTGACCGATAAACGTGTCCCCTGAACGGAACTCACTCAGTGTGCATTGGCTGGAGTGATTTGCACCAGCTGCGGGGGTAGTGTAGTTGGCATCAGAACAGGCTTCACATGGCAAGAACTTCATCAGAGATGACCCATCGTTCCAGGTCCCTCTAGGACATTGCTCACATTGAGTGCCATTGACCTGCTGGCCCGCAGCACAGAATGCTGGTGAGATAAACATAGGGACGAGAGTGTGTGAGTAGATTGACGTATGTCAGCAGGATACGGGGAAACAACAGAAGTGACGAATATCCTCGACAGTATGTCAGCAGGATACGGGGAAACAACAGAAGTGACGAACATCCTCGACAGTATGTCAGCAGGATACGGGGAAACAACAGAAGTGACGAACATCCTCGACAGTATGTCAGCAGGATACGGGGAAACAACAGAAGTGACGAACATCCTCGACAGTATGTCAGCAGGATACGGGGAAACAACAGAAGTGACGAACATCCTCGACAGTATGTCAGCAGGATACGGGGAAACAACAGAAGTGACGAACATCCTCGACAGTATGTCAGCAGGATACGGGGAAACAACAGAAGTGACGAACATCCTAGACAGTATGTCAGCAGGATACGAGAAAACAACAGAAGTGACGAACTTCCTACTTATATGAAACCAATATAGAAAGGGATCTTGGATCAGACTGCGTTAATACGACCAAGACGTTGCATACATACAAAGTACAGCAAATACACTAACTGAAAGCAAATGACTTTCATGATGGCTCTGAGATCAGTATGTCTCACAATCACACCGATGACATATCACAGTACGCCTGCCTCCTGTATGGCAAATGTTGACAGCCTGCCCTGGCGATCTATGGACATCGGCTGTAACGTTAAGTAACACGAACCTGTCAGGTGAAGCACTACGAGCACCAGGACAGTATATACATTAGTCAGGTGTTAGCAACAGTCTCCACATGGTCGCATTTCAGGTAGAGGTCACTGCATTTCTTATTCCGTATATCCTACCATTGATGGTGAATGCATGTCAGTGACACACAGGTAGGAGTGAGTGAGTGAGTGAGTGAGTTGGGTTTAACGCCGCTTTTAACAATATTCCAGTTATATCGCGGCGTGTCAGCTTAATGTGGGAGGAAAGGACGAAGTGATGCAGGTCTCCGACGTTTACCACTTCGGTGAAACCCACGAGCACGGGTATGGTGCTGACAAACCTAGAAACATAATCGGGGCGAACCGGGATTCAAACCCACAATCATAGGTTTCTGGCGTGCCCAAGGGACGCAACTCTGCACAGCGAATCGCGGCACCTTAGACGACTGGGCCACCCGTGCCCCCACACAGGTAGGAACATCTTACAGGATTCACTGGATGACATGAGTACACAACATCCCGCCAGTTACCTTTACAGTCAGAAGCGTTTGTGGATTCTTCAGCTTCAGTTGTGTAGCCGTCCTCACACTTGATGCAATGTCTCTGCAGCTGTCTCGACTGGAACGTCCCTACAGGACACGTCGTGCACACGTCGCTGTCATTGATGTACCTACCAGGGGGACACTCGGCTAGCAAGCAAAAATATTAATCTCATATTCATGAATGAACCGGTAAATTATGATTTGACTAAAAATGGTATCACATTTCAAACTCAAAGCAAATGTGTCAGATTAATTTTGTCTTTTGCCAATAGATCGGTATATTTTAGATAATATTTTTGAGGTAAGTGGAAATTTCCTCCCAGATATGGTATTCCTGTCACTATCACATTCGCCGTGTGAGTACACATATTCAACATTAAAATAATGTTTTTGCCTATTTGTGTTTTAATGTGATTACTTTTATACAGACTGAATATCTTTACAGTTGAGGCAACTTCCGGTCAATCCTGTCGCACTGTTCTTGATCACTTACTATTCAGCACCATGGCGGGGAGTACATCTGACGTGATGCATGACAGCCAACAATACGAACTCGACTCGTTTGACAGACAGATTACCACTATTCATATGTTGAGAATAATTGATGCCCAGTAATGTTCAGGTGGTGCTTATGTGAGTCATGTTATTATTATTAGTAGTAGTAGTTGTAGTAGTAGAAGTAGTAGCAGCAGTAGTAGTAGTAGTAGTAGTAGCAGTAGCAGTAGCAGTAGCAGTAGCAGTAGTAGTAGTAGTAGTAGTAGTGCTTATGTTCGTATTGTTAGTTTTATTATTATTATTATTAGTAGTAGTAGTAGTAGTAGTGGTAGTAGTAGTAGTAGTAGTAGTAGTAGTAGTAGTAGTATAAAGATCGTGGAGTACAATTTCCATCACAACGTATTACTGACGTAAGCTACAGCCGGACGACGAGGTTGTCTTGGTTCCTCTAGTGTTTTTTCCAGGCGGACATTTCGTACAGTTGTCTTGTAAATTGCGCGTTCTGTAGTAGCCTTGAGCACAATCCTTGCATGATCCATCATCCTGCAGCACAGTGCCAGAAGGACAGCCATCTGCAACATGGAATACACATTGACCAATGCTTGGAAGTAAATGGTATCTCTTGCAACTTGGTGCCAGGAGGACACGGAATATCACATATGGACCAGATTTGGTTAACTAGTGACATTGTTAAGAATCGTTTCGCAAGCTTTTCATTGTGATTAATATTAATAAACGCATACTTATGATGAAGTCGGAATCATACAGTTGACTTTGCTTCTAGTAGAGAGTTCGTATAATTATGTAAATGGCGTTGTGGCTTCATTAAATATATATGTACATATATGTTAATGTCATATTTAGATCACACTGACATCAATAACAATCATCGAGAGATTAACACATTATAACACTTATTGTTTTCACATGAAAAAACGCATGCGGTAAACACAACATGTAAATCTATCTCGAAGCTCTTATTTCCATTATACCTGATATGCAGTGCTCGACAAACGGAAGTGTTCAATTACATGTGTGCGTAAAGTACAAAGGTATTGAGCAAGCAAAGCAAAGCAAGGCAAAACCCTTCACCTTTCCATCATGTTTCCGCCACTCTCACGACGTTCTATCGTCACCATCTTGTTAACAGCATATACTTGAGTTGAATAATTCTCACATGCACACGCTACCGATCTGACGTTATAAACACATTAACCCACAAACATAATCCGTAGTTTGGGGGAAACCTAAGGTCTGCGTTCCCCGCGCAGCATAAAACAAGCATTAAGACGGGAGAATGATAATAGGTTTCCAATTTTCTTCTTAAACTATGATTGGTGACATAGACCAAGTTCACGACACTATCACAACCACAACACGTCACAGAGTATACTCCTACACTACGTATAAACGTCAATCGGGTTTCAATTTCCTTCTTATACCAAACATGACAGCCTCATTCCTGCATCAACACAGCAAACGTCCACATTAAGCTCACCGACACAGTGAGCTGCATTGTCTGTTCCCTCCACGCTGGTTCTCTTGAGCGGAGGACATGGGTAGCAGAACGACTGGCCATCCTTCTCCTGGTAGTAGTCACGTGGACATGGGCTACAGCTGCTGCCTTGGAAGTACTGACCAGCTGGACATTTGTCTGGAAATACAAAATATTCCTGTGGTCAGCATCATGCAAACAGATCAGAGGTAAAGGGGGGCTTTGTCGAGCTCACCTGTCCTCCGTTAACACACCAACAATACATGACAACAGCATTCCTTCAACATCCACAGTCATACACACCAGTGTTGTGCAATGTAATCCAAACTAAAGTAGAATGTTTGTGGATAAGATGAGAGATGAATGCTCCAAAAGAAACCCATAATTGAATGTTACAAGACTTTTGGCTTGACTCTAAACCACGCAGATATGTCCATGACACTTTTGTATTGGATTCCATAGCTCCATACACATCTGTTCAAAGTGATAATATTGCTGGATGCAGCAGATGCTCCCACAGTTTTGCAGTCTTGGAAAAGGACCAAGTTAAATTTTGTCAATTTGATTTCTAAACATTCTACTCGACAAAAGTAAGGAAAACTTCATTCCCCGGTTTATGGGGATTGTTACAAGACGCGGTAACCCTAGATATAGTTACGACTCTTTCTTCATAGATTCTGGGCAGTTTGTTGAAAATGAAAGCAAATGTCACATTTAGTATCTTGAGGAAACAATATGTGAAATACTGGGTTTCCTCCGTGTGAAATATGGGGATTGGACATGTTGGCAAGGATGCCTGTCCGATGCCCCACTTTCTGTATATATTGATATTATAATGTGAACCTATTGCTGGATTTGTTTGTCAGTCTATTGTTGTTAGCAATATAACAGCCATATGAGGGGGGTCTGTAAATAATCGATCCTGGACCAGACAATCCAGATTGACATCATGAGCACCGATCTATATAACTGGAACACGGCGACAAGCACCAACCAAATCAGCAGGCCCGAACACCCGATTCCGTTTGACAAACATGGGTTGTTGAAGACCAATTTAACCTGGATCGTCTTGCCCCTAAAATGTGAGAGTTGGTGGGTACTTCAAAGAATGTTTGACACAGCTCAGCATCGGATCTTTTCAATGGAACTTGTGGTGGGTTTTGATGTACGGATATCGCTGGCTAGCTAGTGCTCTTGTATCGGACTTGGGGCAGGGGTGACCTTACTCTTATACTTACCGACACAGCTAGCCAGCGTCCTTCAATCGTGTCTTTAGGTGGTATTGTCTTCACACACTTCACGTACTTACCGACACAGCTGGCCAGCGTCCTTGCACCGGGTCGGAGAGTGGTCTTTCCTCCACAGGACTTGCAGGAGGTCTGTGACGACATGTCTGAGTAAGAGCCTACTGGACACAGCACACACATGCCGAGGGAGGAGTTGAAGAAGGACCCAGGACCACAGGCAACTGGAAGTTACAACAGGTGGTCAGTTCATTCTCTACTTACGTGCAACCCGCAAATAGCAAATATAAGGTGGGAGTTAGATCATTCTCCCCTACCAGATGCTAAGAATGGTACAGACATGCAATGCAGCTACTCACCACAGTTGTTGGTACCGACTGCTTCATCACAGGATGCCTTGAGGACAACAACCACCAGGTCCTTCTGTAGCACACTCTGACCGATGTCCTGAAAAACACAAGAGTTGAGTACTACACTGACCAATGTCCTACAAATAACACCACAGTCAAGTACCACACTGACCGATGTCCTACAAATAACACCACAGTCAAGTACCACACTTACCGATGTCCTCAGAAACACCATAGATGTTCTCCAAATGATGTCCGATGCAAATCCTTAATTTGACATGTACCATAATTCCCGTTTTCTTTCAGGAGAACAATTGATTTGATTGCATTGGCATGTGTTTGAGACGGGTGGCACCAATGATGCAGGATACGCTCATCTTTTCGCGAATACCTGTTTGATAATGATTTCGTAAGCACATGTTATATAGTCAAAATTGTACAATCAACTGCTTTGGGCAGGTATTTCTTATGAATATGGAAAGGATTTTGTCGCCTGTATTTACTCACCGTGAAGGCCTCGTCACTCAGATCATCACCCTCAATCGCTGTAATCTTGATGATCTCATCCGGCGACAGTGTCATACTATTATCCTGTCTGGTTATCGTCTCTCTGTCAATAGAGGGGTGCGCTTCCAATAATAATGCTTTTCTCTCTTCTTTCTTTGTCACTTATCTCTTACAATAAAGCGTTTCTCCTCCAATAAAGCAAACACATCTGGGTTTGAACTGAATGATTCACACGTTGTTCTTCACATTCCACATGTCTTACCAATCCTGCTCCTAACAGAATTATCAAAACTCACTGTGGTTGGAATAATAAATTAACGAAAGCAGATTAATTTTAGACTTCTTATGACTGGCTTGGCATGTCAATATATATTGCATTAGTTAGTATATGGTACATTAGTGTTCATGCTCGCACTCACTCAAGTTTTGTCAACGTGGCACTGACAACTATTTGTCTCGCCTCGCAACGTCCTGAAGTAACCAAGTTTGTGCAGCCGTCAACACACAGCCCCGGCCACCTCACAGAGAGGGTATTCACAAACTTGCTACTCAACTCCCTCAACAAGCTGTCCTTCAGGAAGTTGGAACAGGTTAAAGTCATGTTGTAGGTGAGGGTGAACTCCAATGAATACTTTTGCGCCGATGTTGCTGAAAATATTGCAACGTATGATCAAACCTCACAATTTACAAGATATATACGATAGAGTCTCTCTTGTGTAATACACTTCAAATGCAGACCATTGAAGATCCGGGGAAGAATAGGTCTTCAGCGACGCATTCTTGCCGTAAGAGGCGACACGCATGTCATCGTATCCCGATTGCTTGGATCGATGCCCATGATGTCAATCACTGGATTGTCTGGTCCAGACTCGATTAATAACAGACTTCCGCCATACAGGTGGAATACAGCTGAGTGCAGCGTTAAACAACAAACAAACATCAAATCCTATCCCTCCCTCTATGTAGCCCTACCTCCACAAGCAGGCGCTGTGTACAGATCCAAGGGACTGTCCAGATTGTAAGAACCAAGTTTACCACAACGAAGAATATTTGGCGTTGGGATGGAAGGGGCTTGGCCGGCGGGGCAGAAGTCACGAATAGCAGTCGCGCCACAATGAGCGGTATTCAGGAAGCCCTCTGTGCTGCACGTGCTTGATCCTGCAAGAATCATTGGGTAACAATGAGCCAGTCAATGTGATTGGATTAGCATGATGGAATCATTGTCACCCGTATTCATCAGTAATAAATACAGCCACCACTGATTTCATCATAACTCACTCGTAGAATTAAATACAAGCGACAAAACCCATTTCCAAATTCATAAGAAAATCTCTGCTAAAAAGCAGAGTCGATTGTACGAGTCCGACTCTATCATGAGTCATCGGTTTATGAACCACTATCAAATAGTGATGATACCAGGTGAGCGTATCATGCCCTATCGGTGCTACCCGTCACACATGCAAATGCAAGTCAACTGTTCACCTAAAAGAAAACCGATATATGTGTCAAGTTTGGAACTATACTCCACATGACTACCACAAACTATTTTGCACAATTTGCGAAGGCCTTGACTGTTGAAACCAAAACAGATGTGGCGCAAGAATCGTATCGCGCTTAGTAGCAACTGATGTGGATACGAGCATGATTCTTTTGAGGACGGCAACTCAACAGTGTATTGACATAATACCAAAATTGGGACATTTTACGAAGTCCGAAGGTTTCAGAGATTCACGAAACAGATGATGTAACAGGACACACCACGCCTTTTATTAAAAGAAACATATGATCACTTGTCTTCGTTCGGGTAGACATGAACAGCCTATTCACCACCGTCACTGGCTGGGAACTTTACGTTTGTGATAATGCCCATACGATGTGTGACGTCTCTAATGTAGTCTGTGTTTGGTACAACTGTACATCTAATAATCATTTGCTAGATACGTTTTGAATTATTTCGTTGTAATAAAACTGATTGAAGGCAACCGTGACGCGCTCATCTCTTTAAAGTTTAAAATATTCAATTTCCCTTGAATTATTCAAGTTACATATGACAGTGGAATGGGCGTTAATACCTCACCTGTAATATAGACCTTGAATCTGCAAAGTTCAGTGTTTCCTTCGGTGTCCATGGTGGCATAAACAACATCATACCTGCCTCGCATCATGAGTTCATCTGGAACATGTCATTCAATATTGTTAATGATCCGAAAATTATTTCATTTGAAACAGAAATTTGAAATTTCCGTCAAATATAATGTACAGACATTGTACATACACCTGCACTTACACCTACACACACCAAAACACACGTCTGTAAATATCTGCACACACACCTGAACATATCTGCACACATACCTGCACACACACACACCTGCAGATGCACCTGCACATACACCTGCACACATGGCTGCACATACTCTTGCACGTACACCTGCACACACAGCTGCGCATACACCTGCACATAAACCTGCAAACACAGCTGCACATACACCTGCACATACACCTGCACACACACCTGCATGTACACCTGTTCTGCATACATACAATTCATGTATATGTGGACCTCTGTACCCGTGTTTGACATTGTATTTGTCATGGGAGACTCCTCTAAAGAAACAGTCTGACAGAATGCACCATGTGTGTATGGACTGTTTAATAACCATATCATTCACCTGTGAATGTACTTGCTACTGTGGCGTTACCGTCTGTAGAGGGCGCTGTGAAGACGGCAATGGCCTCCACGACTCGCGTGCTCGAGTTGTACACGATGTTATTGGTTGGGCAGTTGTACAAATTGGGCGTCTTCTTGTCTGTGGAAGATGACACATAACACCTAAAGATGTCACAAACAACAGGCGTCAAGATAATCGTATAATTACAAAAGGTGAGCATTTGTTGACAGTAAAGTCTTTACCGAAAACAAACTCATGTCACCAATACTCCCAGAAGTCATTCCCAGAACATACTGTTCATGTGTCGGGAGAGCATAGACGCAATTTTTATTTTCGAAGGTATACTTAAGGACGAACTACTATGAACATCAGTGGTATATCCTTTATATTTATGCAATGTCATCATCTTTGGGTTCTATGTATCCTTGAACTTGTAATTCTATTATCAGATATTTTGTTACCTGGCTGTCCAGTGCATGTTTCCGCCATGACACGTCCCGACTCGCACAGTGTAACACCGGGACCTGCCTTGCTTGGGGAGTACGTTCTACTTCCTCCCGCCATCTTGTAGAGGTTCCAGCCAAGGGCAAGGTCACCAGTAGGTTGGTAGTTCAAGTTCCCCAAAACACTGGACACATCACTGTGGGTTAGGATGCTTCTCCACACAGTAAGGCGGGAGATGTAACCTTTGAAGTTGGGGTCGAACCAGACAATCTTCAGGCTGAAAGTACGGGTGTACCACACACAATACAAAGTATTAATGACAGCAGTATGGAACGGCAGTGTACCTCAGTAACTGGATGTATAGACATATTCTGTAACCATGTCAGTACGTAAATTACTGCAGAGCATCCAGTAACTCTCCAGTCATCCAACAACTCCTTCAAAGGTCGATGCAAATAAGTGTATCCTCGTATCTATCTTATCCTAAACCTCGACGAACAGATCAAAGGAAATCGGGTGTTATGTAGTTTACTGCCTGCTTCTATAACCCCCATCATTACCGACGTATTGTCAACACACGAGCACACCACACAACATGTTCAACATCGAGTATATTTAACCTACCTGTTACTGCCTGTGAGATTGACGTTAATATCTCCTGATGTGACTTTGATTCCGTTAACATACACACTGATTGATCCGTTTCTTGTCCACGTGGCTGCCACGTGATCCCATTGACCCTTGACTGTCTCCAGATCTGCTTTGTCTAGCGTCTTATTGACCACCTGTCCAGCGGCAGAAAACTGGATACGGTCTTGGAACAGCTCGAAATACTTTTCACTGCCGTCACTGCAAGAGACACCCTCACAATAAGGAAACTGACGGGAAACCAGAACATGAATGATCACGAAATCAGGAGGCATTACATATAATGTTCATACACAAGAAGCAGAAAGTCTTACAGGTTAGATATGACGACCGATCTGCCGGAGTTGAGGTAGCCAATCCACAACATGATGGAGAGGTCGCCTGATAGCTGGAACGGGCTGTACGACTCGACGGTGGAAGCGAAACGGTTGTCAAGGTACAGGTCAAAGTCAGGAGATGTGTCTGTGAACCGAACATTTATGTTTGATCTGGGTGAAAACGTGAACAAATTAATTGCAGAAGATGTCTAATTATATCGGAAATCACCATATAGATGAACACAATAATAAAGATATAAAGTAATCAGTCAAATGTCAAATGTTTAATTTAATTCTAGTTTCACCTTATATTCTTACCTTTACATGTTGGTCCCGAGAGAATCTTTGGTGGCGGACACAGGCAGAACGCCTTGCGTCCCTCTTTAACACAGTTAATGCCAGATGGACACTTGTTCTGGCAAATATCGTCCTCATTCTCGCAATTATCACCGCTGAATCCTGGACAGATATGGAGAGAGTAAAGGATACAAGGAAAATCAGACTATCGCAGAGCAACCAAAAATGAGTGAAGTTGGTGCCACCTTGACTGACTTGTGTATAAGTGTATATGATTCAGTGGCCTTGCATGTGTAACATTTTTCAGGGGTGCCCAATGTCTTGAGAGATTTGGGTCCATCTAGGATGACTTAAATTGGCAGTATTAGTGTAGAATGGAAAGGCAAGTGTTCAGTGACATATACGTCCATTTAAATGGTTAGAAGGTGTCGGTTGTAGCAGAGGTGCCCAATGTTAACAGAGATCTGGTCCCATTATACAGTGAGGGTCAGTAAACCCACCTTCTGGGCAGGCACAACTGTATCCAATTGGCTCGAGGAGAGAACAGTTGCCACCATTGCTACACACATTGTCGGAACAACCATCCTTGATCAGCTCACAGGACACCCCACTGTATACTAGAACACAGAAATATAAACATACACACATCAGAAGTAGAATTTGTTCAGGTTTCATCGACTATGGCTGCCACCAGACACTAAGGTAATATCGACTACAGCCGCCACCAGACACTGAGGTAATATCAACTATAGCTGCAACCAGACACTGAGGTAATATCGACTACAACTGCCACCAGACTCTGAGGTAATATCGACTATAGACGCCACCAGACACTGAGGTAATATCGACTATAGACGCCACCAGACACTGAGGTAATATCGACTACAGATACCACCAGACACTGGGGTAATATCAACTACAGATACCACCAGACACTGAGGTAATATCGACTACAGATGCCATTAGGCGCTGAGGTAATATCGACTACATATACCACCAGACACTGAGGTAATATCGACTACAGCTGCCACCGGACACTGAGGTAATATCGACTATAGCTGCAACCAGACACTGAGGTAATATCGACTACAACTGCCACCAGACACTGAGGTAATATCGACTATAGACGCCACCAGACACTGAGGTAATATCGACTACAGATACCACCAGACACTGGGGTAATATTGACTACAGATACCACCAGACACTGAGGTAATATCGACTACAGATGCCATTAGGCGCTGAGGTAATATCGACTACAGATACCACCAGACACTGAGGTAATATCGATTACAGCTGCCACCGGACACTGAGGTAATATCGACTATAGCTGCAACCAGACACTGAGGTAATATCGACTACAACTGCCACCAGACACTGAGGTAATATCGACTATAGACGCCACCAGACACTGAGGTAATATCGACTACAGATACCACCAGACACTGGGGTAATATCAACTACAGATACCACCAGACACTGAGGTAATATCGACTACAGCTGCCACCAGACACTGAAGTAATAGCGACTGCAGATACCACCAGACACTGAGGAAATATCGACTACAGCTGACAACAGACACTAAGGTATGATCGACTACAGCTGACACCGGACACTGAGGTTATATTGACTACAGCTGTCATCAGTCACTACGGTAATATCGGCTACAGATGCCGCCGGACACTGAGGTAATATTAGCAAAATAATCCACCAGACCCTGAGGTAATATATATCGGCTACAGTTGCCATCAGACACTGAGGTTATATTGACTACAGCTGCCATCATGCACTAAGGTAATATCCGGACTCTCAGGTAATATTGACAAACGAATCTACCAGACACTGAGGTAATATCGACTATAGCTGCCACCAGACACTAAGGTATGATCGAAAACAGCTGACCCCGGACACTGAGGGAATATTGGCTACAGCTGCCATCAGACACTGAGGTAATATTGACTACAGCTGCCATCAGGCACTAGGGTAATATCGGCTACAGATGCCGCCGGACACTAAGGTATGATCGACTATAGCTGACCCTGGACACTAAGGTAATATCGGCAACAGCTGCCATCAGACACTGAGGTAATATTGATTACAGCTGCCACCAGACACTGACGTAGTATGGTCTATAGACGCCATCAGACACTGAGGAAATATCGGCTTCAGATGCCATCAGACGCTGAGGTAATATCGACTACAGATACCACCAGACACTGGGGTAATATCGACTATAACTGCCACCAGACACTGAGGTAATATCGGCTACAACTGCCACCAGACACTGAGGTAATATCGGCTACAGCTGCCATCAGACACTGAGGTAATATGTGGACTACAACTGATACCAGACACTTACATGATTGACAGTTGCATGTTGCTGACCCGCCCGACTGCTGGCATGTACCCTGGGTGGTACACGGCTTGACCAGATCACACACTGTGGGTGTGTTTTCACACATACGTCCCTGGGTCCCCTTCTGGCAGCTGAAGTCAGTGAAATTACAATTAGTGCCCCGACACCGGAAAGCTAATTAGTGCTAAAACTGTTCATGTGTTGTCAACAAGCTACACATTACATTTTGCCAAGATCGATATTCATCAAACAATTATCTACCCTCTGATATCCTTTGACCTCTTCGGGGATGGTGGGATAGCCTAGTGGTTAAAGCGTTCGCTCGTTACGCCGAAATCCCGGGTTGGATTCCCCACATAGGTTGAATAAGTGGTGTCCACCGCCGTGATACTTCTGGAATATTGCGAAATGCAGGTGTAACTCACTCACTCACTCATTTTGAACCTTTCAGTATTGTTCGAAATAATCAATTAGTCTCCAGGTTCAAGGATTGGTCATCACATCAAAAAAAGCCGGCTAACCAGCCTTGACCCTTGCCGAAGCATATCCCACTGGGCGCATGCCAGCGGCGAACATCACACGAATGGATCACTGAAAACGAGAGATTACATCGCACGAATGGATCACTGAAAACCAGCGACAACACCACACGAATGGATCACTGAAAACCAGCGACAACACCATACGAATGGATCACTGAAAACCAGCGACAACACCACAAGAATGGATCACTGAAAACCAGAGATTACATCACACGAATGGATCACTGAAAACCAGCGACAACACCACACGAATGGATCACTGAAAACCAGCGACAACACCACACGAATGGATCACTGAAAACCGGCGACAACACCACACGAATGGATCACTGAAAACCAGAGATTACACCACACGAATGATCACTGAAAACCAGCGACAACACCACACGAATGGATCACTGAAAACCAGCGACAACACCACACGAATGGATCACTGAAAGCCAGCGACAACACCACACGGATGGATCACTGAAAACCAGCGACAACACCACACGGATGGATCACTGAAAACCAGAGATTACACCACACGAATGGATCACTGAAAACCAGCGATAACACCACACGAATGGATCACTGAAAACCAGCGACAACACCACAGGATATTCTGAGATGATCAATCATTTTTGCTTCATCTTTATTGGTCACTATCTGTAAACCTGTCACCGTCAGATTGATTCCAGCAGGGGCTCTTCACGACGTTTCTGTCCGTCCTTACTTGCTGGTCAATCACCACAGTAATTCACAGCTGTTACGTGTTCCCTGTTTCGTGTATCACTTGTATGTGGTTATGTTTACAAGTTATTGCCCTAAAATGACAAATGGAATGTGCACATTTGACACAACCGTCTCATTTTTGTTTGCTTCCATTTCATACATAGTTTAAAAGGGTTACCTTCAACGTACCTATTTGGAAATACCTCCCTACAATATATTCTGGATAATGTAACTTACCCAAACTATGCATACATCTAGCACATGTCCTAATCTATCCGTTCTTAATCTAAACGGTCAAACAAAGTCATATTTGTGTTATGACCAAGATCAACATTACTGCGCCATCACGCACCTGCAGAAGTAGTCCTCAAACACAGGGTAGCAGGTGGCATCATTCTGACACGAGATGCCGGTACACGTGTTGCTAATGTTCTGGCAGTTCTTGCCCTCCCAGCCAGGAGTACAGTTACACGAGTAGTCAGCCAGTTGGTCGACACAGGTGCCACCATGCATGCAGGGCAGGGAGTCGCACTCGTTGATCAGCTCCTAGGGAATTATTACACTCACAGTTTTATCAGAAATAGAGATATTGTATAATAAAGACATTATTCAATATCCTTAACCCTCTATCCAGCAGGTGTTACATTTGGTAGGACGTAGACATACAGACAAGTAACAGAAACACACAGAGTAGCAGAAACATCACAGGGGATTAAAACTGGAAGGGTCAGTGATGAAGTCGACTACCAGAGTCTGGTATAACACGGGTGTGATAGTATAGTGTGATGTGTCCAACACGGGTATGATAGGATAGTATGATGTGTACAACACGGGTGTGTGTACAACACGGGTGTGATAGGATAGTATGAGGTGTACAACACGGGTGTGATAGGATAGTATGAGGTGTACAACACGGGTGTGATAGGATAGTATGATGTGTACAACACGGGTATGAAAGGATAGTATGATGTGTACAACACGGGTGTGATAGGATAGTATGATGTGTACAACACGGGTGTGATAGGACAGTATGAGGTGTACAACACGGGTGTGATAGGATAGTATGATGTGTACAACACGGGTGTGATAGTATAGTATGATGTGTCCAACACGGGTGTGTGTACAACACGGGTGTGATAGGATAGTATGAGGTGTACAACACGGGTGTGATAGGATAGTATGATGTGTACAACACGGGTTTGATAGGATAGTATGATGTGTACAACACGGGTATGATAGGATAGTATGATGTGTACAACACGGGTGTGATAGTATAGTATGATGTGTCCAACACGGGTATGATAGGATAGTATGATGTGTACAACACGGGTGTGTGTACAACACGGGTGTGATAGGATAGTATGAGGTGTACAACACGGGTGTGATAGGATAGTATGATGTGTACAACACGGGTGTGATAGGATAGTATGATGTGTACAACACGGGTGTGATAGGATAGTATGATGTGTACAACACGGGTATGAAAGGATAGTATGATGTGTACAACACGGGTGTGATAGGATAGTATGATGTGTACAGCACGGGTGTGATAGGATAGTATGATGTGTACAACACAGGTGTGATAGGATAGTATGATGTGTACAACACGGGTGTGATAGGATATTATGATGTGTACAACACGGGTGTGACAGGATAGTGTGATGTGTACAACACGGGTGTGATAGGATAGTATGAGGTGTACAACACGGGTGTGATAGGATAGTATGAGGTGTACAACACGGGTGTGATAGGATAGTATGATGTGTACAACACGGGTGTGATAGGATAGTATGATGTGTACAACACGGGTATGAAAGGATAGTATGATGTGTACAACACGGGTGTGATAGGATAGTATGATGTGTACAGCACGGGTGTGATAGGATAGTATGATGTGTACAGCACGGGTGTGATAGGATAGTATGATGTGTACAACACGGGTGTGGTAGGGTAGTATGATGTGTACAACACGGATGTGGTAGGATAGTGTGATGTGTACAACACGGGTGTGATATGATACTGTGATGTGTACAAAACGGGTGTGACAGGATAGTGTAATGTGTACAGTGGTAGAAGGCTGTTATCGATTTAAGATCAGTACTTACTGTACAGTTTTTACCGGTGTATTCAGTCTTACACTCACACCTGTAGTCCTGGTTCAGATCCACACAGCGATCTGTTTGCTCTTGGTGACATTGATCTGTGCAGTCCACGACGTCAGACTCACATGTTGTACCTGACAAACAACCAATGCACAAGACTAAGCTTTCCAATAGGTCTCAATCATTTCACAGCATATCTATTGGCGGATGAAGCAACTTCAATGTTTAAACATACTCATTCTTCTTGACTCGCGGAGCTCCTTCGTAGTGTTATATGCAGTTTCAAGGGCCTTTCTGCTGTTACACTGTAGCATGGTATCTCACTGGGCTGGCAATATACTGCATGCACCTCGCTATATCAGTACAATAATCTTAAATGTTGTACACATCTATCTAATGCTGATTGACATGACGAGACTGTACAGTTCGATATGTAGTTACAAAAGCCTTTCTGTTTTATCTGAAATACATCTACCCAATGCTGACAGGATCACGTGGTCAGTTTACCTGCCCATTCAACGTCACACTGTCAGGAGAACAGGGTCAGTTTACCTGTCCAGCCAGCGTCACACTGGCAGGAGAACAGGGTCAGTTTACCTGTCCAGCCAGCGTCACACTGACAGGAGAACGTGGTCAGTTTACCTGTCCAACCAGCGTCACACTGGCAGGAGAACATGGTCAATTTACCTGTCCAGCCAGCGTCACACTGACTGGAGAACGTGGTCAGTTTACCTGTCCAGCCTGCGTCACACTGGCATGAGAACGTGGTCAGTTTACCTGTCAGGGCCAGCGTCACACTGGCAGGAGAACGTGGTCAGTTTACCTGTCCAGCCTGCGTCACACTGACAGGAGAACGTGGTCAGTTTACCTGTCAGGGCCAGCGTCACACTGGCAGGAGAACGTGGTCAGTTTACCTGTCCAGCCAGCGTCACACTGTCAGGAGAACGTGGTCAGTTTACCTGTCCAGCCTGCGTCACACTGGCATGAGAACGTGGTCAGTTTGTCTGTACAGGTTCCATGCACACACGGGCTGCTGGCACAGTCGTCGATGTTGTGCTGACACAGTGATCCCTCGTAGCCGGACATGCACACACAGCGGTAGCCGTCTGACAGATTCTCACAGCGTTCAGTGTTGTTGGTGGTGCAGGGGGATGAGGAACAGAAGTTGATCCTGGTACACTCGCCATTGGAAGCTGGAGAAGCAGTTGTTCAGTTTAGACTTTCCCTGTATTAGGTTTCTATGGCCCACCTGCATTCTAGTGATTATAGCTGATATATATTCATTGAAAAAAGCATAGAGGATAACCTTTTAATCAGGAGTATAAGAAGATTTAGCGACACTGTGGCCATCGAGTGAGCAGGTCAGGCACAGACAAGTCATTGCCTATACCATAACATACAATCAAATAGTTCATACATTAAAACCATCAAACACTCGGCTCCTACCACAAACATAGGGTACTTGGTGCATCTGAAGCCTATCATCTGTATGGGGAACGTGTTTATTAAAAACCGTGCTTCACAATTCCCCCATATTAATACACTGGAAATCAACAGCTCAATTTACATTGTTCAAAGGGATCCTCGCAGATGCAGTCAGCGGTGACGTTGTCGTAATTGCTGATACAGAGGCCGTTGCTGCAGCGTCCTGCTGTACACAAAATCGCCTCATTCTGGCAGTGGTCGTCTCCGAAGCCGGGTTTGCACGAGCAGGAGTAGGAGTCGGAGCCATCGACACACCTGCCGCCGTACAGACAGCCATCCGGGTTCTGCTCACACTCATCTGTGGGGACATAGAGCGACAAGTGATAATCAATGACGATACCAAATTTTATTAAAAAAATCGATGGACTTCACAGAGCCGGTTAACACTAGATGTAGATGTAAACAAACAGTATTCAAGACAAAAACGTCACTTTCATTGGTGACAATCCATCAACGTGTTACTACAGTTAACACCCTATATACATGTTACTACACTGTCAACACACGACTTACCCACGGCAGTCTCACAGTTAACACCCTATATACATGTAGCTACACTGTCTAGACACGACTTACCCACGGCAGTCTCACAGTTAACACCCTATATACATGTTACTACACTGTCTACACACGACTTACCCACGGCAGTCTCACAGTTAACAACCTATATACATGTAACTACACTGTCTACACACGACTTACCCACGTCAGTCTCACAGTTAACACCCTATATACATGTAACTACACTGTCTACACACGACTTACCCACGTCAGTCTCACAGTTAACACCCTATATACATGTAACTACACTGTCTAGACACGACGTACCCACGGCAGTCTCACAGTTAACACCCTATATACATGTAACTACACTGTCTACACACGGCTTACTCACGGTAGTCTCACAGTTAACACCCTATATACATGTAACTACACTGTCTACACACGATTTACCTACAGCAGTCTCGCAGTTATCATCCTATATACATGTAACTACACTGTCTAGACACGACTTACCTACGTCAGTCTCACAGTTAACACCCTATATACATGTAACTACACTGTCTACACACGGCTTACTCACGGTAGTCTCACAGTTAACACCCTATATACATGTAACTACACTGTCTACACACGACTTACCTACAGCAGTCTCGCAGTTATCATCCTATATACATGTAACTACACTGTCTACACACGACTTACCCACAGCAGTCTCACAGTTATCATCCTATATACATGTAACTACACTGTCTACACACGACTTACCCACGGCAGTCTCGCAGTTATAATCCTATATACATGTAACTACACTGTCTACACACGACTTACCTACAGCAGTCTCACAGTTAGCATCCTATATACATGTAACTACACTGTCTACACACGACTTACCCACGGCAGCCTCACAGTTAAAACCCTATATACATGTAACTACACTGTCTACACACGACTTGCTCACGGCAGTCTCACAGTTAACACCCTATAAACATGTAACTACACTGTCTACACACGACTTCCTCACGGCAGTCTCACAGTTAACACCCTATAAACATGTAACTACACTGTCTACACACGACTTGCTCACGGCAGTCTCACAGTTAACACCCTATATACATGTAACTACACTGTCTACACACGACGTACCCACGGCAGTCTCGCAGTTAACACCCTATATACATGTAACTACACTGTCTACACACGACTTACCTACAGCAGTCTCACAGTTAACATCCTATATACATGTAACTACACTGTCTACACACGACTTACCCACGGCAGCCTAACAGTTAACACCCTATATACATGTAGCTACACTGTCCACACACGACTTACCCACGACAGTCTCACAGTTAACACCCTATATACATGTAATTACACTGTCTACACACGACTTACCCACGGCAGTCTCACAGTTAACACCCAATATGCATGTAACTATACTGTCTACACATGACTTACCCACGGCAGTCTCACAGTTAGCACCCTATATACATGTAACTACACTGTCTACACACGACTTACCCACGGCAGTCTCACAGTTCACACCCTATATACATGTAACTACACTGTCTAGACACGACTTACCCACGGCAGTCTCACAGTTCACACCCAATATGCATGTAACTACACTGTCTACACACGACTTACCCACGGCAGTCTCACAGTTATCACCCTATATACATGTCACTACACTGTCTTGACACGCGACTTGCCCACGGCAGTCTCGCAGTTATCACCCTATATACATGTAACTACACTGTCTACACACGACTTACCCACGGCAGTCTCACAGTTATCACCCTATATACATGTAACTACACTGTCTACATACGACTTACCCACGTCAGTCTAACAGTTATCATCCTATATACATGTAACTACACTGTCTACACACGACTTACCCACAGCAGTCTCGCAGTTAACACCCTATATGCATGTAACTACACTGTCTACACACGACTTACCCACGGCAGTCTCACAGTTAACACCCAATATGCATGTAACTACACTGTCTACACATGACTTACCCACGGCAGTCTCACAGTTAGCACCCTATATACATGTAACTACACTGTCTACACACGACTTACCCACGGCAGTCTCACAGTTCACACCCTATATACATGTAACTACACTGTCTACACACGACTTACCCACAGCAGTCTCGCAGTTATAATCCTATATACCTATAACTACACTATCTACACACCACTTACCTACAGCAGTCTCACAGTTATAATCCTAAATACCTATAACTACACTATCTACACACGACTTACCTACAGCAGTCTCACAGTTATCATCCTATATACATGTAACTACACTGTCTACACACGACTTACCCACGGCAGCCTCACAGTTAACACCCTATATACATGTAGCTACACTGTCTACACACGATTTACCCACGTCAGTCTCACAGTTATCACCCTATATACATGTAACTACACTGCCTACACACGACTTACCTACAGCAGTCTTACAGTTAACATCCTATATACATGTAACTACACTGTCTAGACACGACTTACCCACGGCAGCCTCACAGTTAACACCCTATATACATGTAGCTACACTGTCTACACATGACTTACCCACGTCAGTCTCACAGTTAACACCCTATATACATGTAACTACACTGCCTACATACGACTTACCCACGGTAGTCTCACAGTTAACACCCCATATACATGTTACTACACTGTCTACACATGACTTACCCACGTCAGTCTCACAGTTAACACCCCATATACATGTTACTACACTGTCTACACACGACTTACCCACGGCAGCCTCACAGTTAACACCCTATATACATGTAGCTACACTGTCTACACACGACTTACCCACGGCAGCCTCACAGTTAACACCCTATATACATGTAGCTACACTGTCTACTCACGACTTACCCACGGCAGTCTCACAGTTAACACCCTATATACATGTAACTACACTGTCTACACACGACTTACCTACAGCAGTCTTACAGTTAACATCCTATATACATGTAACTACACTGTCTAGACACGACTTACCCACGGCAGCCTCACAGTTAACACCCTATATACATGTAGCTACACTGTCTACACATGACTTACCCACGTCAGTCTCACAGTTAACACCCTATATACATGTAACTACACTGCCTACATACGACTTACCCAAGTCAGTCTCACAGTTAACACCCTGTATACATGTTACTACACGGTCTAGACACGACTTACCCACGGCAGCCTCACAGTTAACACCCTATATACATGTAGCTACACTGTCTACACACGACTTACCCACGTCAGTCTCACAGTTAACACCCTATATACATGTAACTACACTGCCTACATACGACTTACCCACGGTAGTCTCACAGTTAACACCCCATATACATGTTACTACACTGTCTACACATGACTTACCCACGTCAGTCTCACAGTTAACACCCCATATACATGTTACTACACTGTCTACACATGACTTACCCACGGCAGTCTCACAGTTTACACCCCATATACATGTTACTACACTGTCTACACACGACTTACCCACGGCAGTCTCACAGTTAACACCCCATATACATGTTACTACACTGTCTACACATGACTTACCCACGTCAGTCTCACAGTTAACCCCTGTGAAGCCAGGGCGACAGGTGCACTGATACCGAACATCCCCCCAGGAGTTGCAGGTGCCACCGTTCTTGCACGGGTCCTCACTGCAGGAGTTGTTCTTACTTTCGCAACTATAAGGAGAATAATTACCTGTCACAGCATTTCAGCCAATAAGCGTTGAGATTGTCCAACTGATCAACGATTGTCACAATTCTTGCACCGATGGGTCAAAAAGTCTGATATATGAATGTGAATGTTCACTGCAGGTTTTCCCCATCAGTTCCCCCATCAGTTCCCCCATGAGTTCCCCCTTCAGTTCCTCCATCAGTTCCCCAATCAGTTCCCCCCAACAGTTCCCACATCAGTTCCTCCTTCAGTTCCCCCATCAGTTCTCCCTTCAGAACTCCCTTCAGTTCCCCCTTCAGTTCACCCATCAGTTCACCCATCAGTTCACCCATCAGTTCACCCATCAGTTCACCCATCAGTTCACCCATCAGTTCTCCCATCAGTTCCCCATCAGTTCACCCATCAGTTCACCCATCAGTTCACCCATCAGTTCACCCATCAGTTCACCCATCAGTTCTCCCATCAGTTCCCCATCAGTTCATCCTTCAGTTCACCCTTCAGTTCCTCCATAAGTTCACCCATCAGTTCACCCATCAGTTCCCAAATCAGTTCCCCATCAGTTCCCCCTTCAGGTCCCCATCAGTTCCCCATCAGTTCCCCCATCATTTCCTTCATCAGTTCCCCCATCAATTCCCACATCAGTTCCCCATCAGTTCACTCATCAGTTTAATCATCAGTTCAGTCTTCAGTTCCCCCATCAGTTCCCCATCAGTTCCCCCATCAGTTCCCCATCAGTTCCTCCATCAGTTCACCAATCAGTTCCCCCATCAGTTCCCCAATCAGTTCCCCCATCAGTTCCCCATCAGTTCCTCCGTCAGTTCATCCATCAGTTCCTCCAACAGTTCCCCCATCAGTTCCCCCATCAGTTCTCCCTTCAGTTCCCCCATCAGTTTCCCCTCCAGTTCCCCCATCAGTTCACACTTCAGTTCACCCATCAGTTCACCCATCAGTTCCTTCATCAGTTCCCCCATGAGTTCGCCTTAAGTTGCCCCATCAGTTCCTTCATCAGTTCCCCCATGAGTTCGCCTTAAGTTGCCACATCAGTTCCCCATCAGTTCCTTCATAAGTTCCCCCATGAGTTCGCCTTCAGTTGCCACATCAGTTCCCCATCAGTTCCCCCATCAGTTCCCCCTTCAGTTCACCCTTTAGTTCCCCCATCAGTTCCCCCTTCAGTTCACCCTTTCGTCCTCCATCAGTTCACCCCTCAGATCCCCCATCAGTTCCCCAATCAGTTCCCCCATCAGTTCCCCCACCAGTTCCCAATCAGTTCCTCCATCAGTTCCCCCATCAGTTCCCCGTTCAGTTCCCCCATTAGTTCCCCCATCAGTTCCTCCATCAGTTCCCCCATCAGTTCCCCAATCAGTTCCCCCATCAGTTCCCCGTTCAGTTCCCCCATCAGTTCCCCCATCAGTGCCCCATCAGTTCCCCCATCAGTTCCCCATCAGTTCCTCCATCAGTTCACCAATCAGTTCCCCCATCAGTTCCCCAATCAGTTCCCCCATCAGTTCCCCATCAGTTCCTCCGTCAGTTCATCCATCAGTTCCTCCAACAGTTCCCCCATCAGTTCCCCCATCAGTTCTCCCTTCAGTTCCCCCATCAGTTTCCCCTCCAGTTCCCCCATCAGTTCACACTTCAGTTCACCCATCAGTTCACCCATCAGTTCCTTCATCAGTTCCCCCATGAGTTCGCCTTAAGTTGCCCCATCAGTTCCTTCATCAGTTCCCCCATGAGTTCGCCTTAAGTTGCCACATCAGTTCCCCATCAGTTCCTTCATAAGTTCCCCCATGAGTTCGCCTTCAGTTGCCACATCAGTTCCCCATCAGTTCCCCCATCAGTTCCCCCTTCAGTTCACCCTTTAGTTCCCCCATCAGTTCCCCCTTCAGTTCACCCTTTCGTCCTCCATCAGTTCACCCCTCAGATCCCCCATCAGTTCCCCAATCAGTTCCCCCATCAGTTCCCCCACCAGTTCCCAATCAGTTCCTCCATCAGTTCCCCCATCAGTTCCCCGTTCAGTTCCCCCATTAGTTCCCCCATCAGTTCCTCCATCAGTTCCCCCATCAGTTCCCCAATCAGTTCCCCCATCAGTTCCCCGTTCAGTTCCCCCATCAGTTCCCCCATCAGTGCCCTATCAGTTCCCCCATCAGTTCCTTCATCAGATCACCCATCAGTTCCCCTTCAGTTCCCCCATCAGTTCCCCCTTCAGTTCCCCCATCAATTCCCCCATCAGTTCACCATCAGTTCCCCCATCAATTCCCCATCAGTTCCCCATCAGTTCCCCCATCGATTCCCCCATCAGTTCACCCTTCAGTTCTTCCATCAGTTCACCCTTCAGTTCCTCCTTCAGTTCCCCCATCAGTTCCCCCATGAGTTTTCACATCAGTTCCCCATCAGTTCCCCAATCAATTCCCCCATCAGTTCACCCTTCAGTTCTTCCATCAGTTCACCCTTCTTTTCCCCATAAGTTCCTTCATCAGTTCCCCCATCAGTTCCCCTCCGGGTTGCCCCATCAGTTCACCCATCAGTTCCTCCATCAGTTCACCCATCAGTTCCCCAATCAGTTCACCCATCAGTTCACCTTCAGTTGCCCCATCAGTTCCTCCATCAGTTCCCCCATCGCTCCCCCATCAGTTCCCCCATCAGTTTCCCATCAGTTCCCCATCAGTTCCCCCATCAGTTCCTCCATCAGTTCCCCCTTCAGTTACTCCATCAGTTCCCCCTTCAGGTCACCCTTCAGTTCCTCCATCAGTTCCCCAATCAGTTTACCCATCAGTTCACCTTCGTTTCGTCCTTTCCTTCATGTTTAGAAATTAAGTGTAGGTAATTTCGGATATGAACAAAAATGCCATTAGTTTATGATACATCTGATGAATGAACAGCTAATTTTATTTAGGTTCGTCTATTGTAACACGCTGCTTCAGTTCCCCATCAGTTCCCCCATCAGTTCCTTCATCAGTTCCCCCATCAATTCCCACATCAGTTCCCCATCAGTTCACTCATCAGTTCACTCTTCAGTTCCCCCATCAGTTCCCCATCAGTTCCCCCGTCAGATCCCCATCAGTTCCTCCATCAGTTCATCAATCAGTTCCCCCATCAGTTCCCCTTCAGTTCCCCCATCAGTTCCTCCATCAGTTCCCCCATCAGTTCCCCAATCAGTTCCCCCATCGGTTCCCCATCAGTTCCTCCGTCAGTTCATCCATCAGATCCTCCAACAGTTCACCCATCAGTTCCCCCATCAGTTCTCCCTTCAGTTCCCTCATCAGTTTCCCCTCAAGTTGCCCCATCAGTTCTTTCATCAGTTCCCCCATGAGTTCGCCTTAAGTTACCACATCAGTTCCCCATCAGTTCCTTCATCAGTTCCCCCATGAGTTCGCCTTCAATTGCCCCATCAGTTCCCCATCAGTTCCCCCATCAGTTCCCCCTTCAGTTCACCCTTTAGTTCCTCCATCAGTTCACCCCTCAGATCCCCCATCAGTTCCCCAATCAGTTCCCCAATAAGTTCCCCCACCAGTTCCCCATCAGTTCCTCCATCAGTTCCCCCATCAGTTCCCCGTTCAGTTCCCCCATCAGTTCCCCGTTCAGTTCCCCATCAGTTCCCCCATCAGTTCCCCAATCAGTTCCCCCATCAGTTCCCCGTTCAGTTCCCCCATCAGTTCCCCCATCAGTTCCCCCATCAGTGCCCCATCAGTTCCCCCATCAGTTCCTTCATCAGTTCCACCATCAATTCCCCATCAGTTCCCCATCAGTTCCCCAATCAGATCACCCATCAGTTCCCCTTCAGTTCCCCCATCAGTTCCCCATCAGTTCCCCAATCAATTCCCCCATCAGTTCACCCTTCAGTTCTTCCATCAGTTCACCCTTCTTTCCCCCATCAGTTCCTTCATCAGTTCCCCAATCAGTTCCCCTCCGGGTTGCCCCATCAGTTCCCCCATCAGTTCACCAATCAGTTCCTCCATCAGTTCACCCATCAGTTCCCCAATCAGTTCACCCATCAGTTCACCTTCAGTTGCCCCATCAGTTCCTCCATCAGTTCCCCATCAGTTCCCCCATCAGTTCCCCCATCAGTTTCCCATCAGTTCCCCATCAGTTCCCCATCAGTTCCCCCATCAGTTCCCCCATCAGTGCCCCATCAGTTCCCCCATCAGTTCCTTCATCAGTTCCACCATCAATTACCCATCAGTTCCCCATCAGTTCCACCATCAGATCACCCATCAGTTCCCCTTCAGTTCCCCATCAGTTCCCCCATCAGTTCCCCCAACAGATCACCCATCAGATCACCCATCAGTTCCCCTTCAGTTCCCCCATCAGTTCCCCATCAGTTCCCCCATCAGTTCCCCATCAGTTCCCCCATCAATTCCCCCATCAATTCCCCATCAGTTCCCCATCAGTTCCCCCATCAGTTCCCCCATCAGTTTCCCCATCAGTTCCCCATCAGTTCCCTAATCAATTCCCCCATCAGTTCACCCTTCAGTTCTTCCATCAGTTCACCCTTCAGTTCCTCCTTCAGTTCCCCCATCAGTTCCCCCATGAGTTTCCCAATCAGTTCACCATCAGTTCCCCAATCAATTCCCCCATCAGTTCACCCTTCAGTTCTTCCATCAGTTCACCCTTCTTTTCCCCATCAGTTCCTTCATCAGTTCCCCCATCAGTTCCCCTCCGGGTTGCCCCATCAGTTCCCCCATCAGTTCACCAATCAGTTCCTCCATCAGTTCCTCCATCAGTTCACCCATCAGTTCCCCAATCAGTTCACCCATCAGTTCACCTTCAGTTGCCCCATCAGTTCCTCCATCAGTTCCCCCATCAGTTCCCCAATCAGTTCCCCCATCAGTTTCCCATCAGTTCCCCATCAGTTTCCCATCAGTTCCCCATCAGTTCCTCCATCAGTTCCCCCTTCAGTTGCTCCATCAGTTCCCCCTTCAGTTCACCCTTCAGTTCCTCCATCAGTTCACAAATCAGTTCACCCATCAGTTCACCTTCGTTTCGTCCTTTCCTTCATGTTTAGAAATTAAGTGTAGGTGATTTCGGATATGAACAAAAATGCCATTAGTTTATGATACATCTGATGAATGAACAGCTAATTTTATTTAGGTTCGTCTATTGTAACACGCTGCTCCTTTCTGTAAACCAGCACCTGGTGGTTATTACTGTAACTTATTAAAACGGAAAATGCATTCGCAAGACGCATGTTACAGTTCCCCCATTAGTTCCCCCACCAGTTCTCCTTCAGTACTCCCTTCGGTTCAACCATCAGTTCACCCTTCAGTTCCCCATCAGTTCCCCCATCAGTTCCCCATCAGTTCCCCCATCAGTTCCCCATCAGTTCCTTCATCAGTTCCCCCATCAGTTCCCCTTCAGTTCACCCATCAGTTCACCCTTCAGTTCCCCCATCAGTTCCCCCATCAGTTCCCCATCAGTTCCCCCATCAGTTCCCCGTCAGTTCCTTCATCAGTTCCACCATCAGTTCCCCCTTCAGTTCCCCATCCGTTCCCCCATCAGTTCCCCAATCAGTTCCCCTTCAGTTCCCCCATCAGTTCCCCTATCAGTTCTCCCTCAGTTCCCCCATCAGTTTCCCCTCCAGTTCCCCCATCAGTTCCCCCATCTGCTCCCCCTTCAGTTCCCCCATCTGTTCCCCATACGTTCTCCCTTCAGTTCCCCCATCACACGCAAGAATAGTGTTACATGTGACCTACTGTGGTTGTGTGTACTGGCCGCCAGAGGGACACACACACTCGTGTCCACCAATCAGATCCCGGCACACGCTGTCGCCTCGGCAGTCATTGGTTGAACAGTCATTCCTCAGGTCCGTCTGGCAATATGTGCCGTTGAAGTCTGTGGTAAACATGTGCATGCACAATAACATTAGACCGGCAATTCTACAATCAGAGTCGTTTATTGTTACCTATGTCACTTATAAACCTGCAGTGCCATCATCCTTCTGTTCTCCAGTTGGGTTAAATATCATAAACAGGGACGTTACAATATCTCTGGGACCTTACATTGTATCCCAAGATTTTTTATAAATACGTCCGTTTAGATTGTAGAATATAAATGTTTATCGCTAGTACTTTATTTTGCATGTGAACACAATGTAATGAAATGTAAAATCAAATGACAAATGTTTTCATTACATTACCAAGAATCGAACTCACAACCTTCGTATCTGTAGCCTGGTGCACCACTATACCTGTATTGTTAAGTTATACCTGTATTGTTTAGTTACACCTGTATTGTTTAGTTACACCTGTATTAGACACGGCCAAAGTGGACAGTGGACATGCGTGAACATATTAGATACATACATGGCTTTCTGTCGCACAGCTTTTCATAGTATGACTCAGTTGCGCCGGTTGTATTTTTCATTCCAGCTTGTTCTTCATTGAGTAAGATACACGCGTTGTTGTGCGTGTAAAACGCCATGGCAACACAGGCTGAGTTACTTATACATTCAGCACTGCAGGCAGCCACAGTAGTGCTGGGCAAGTATGCGATGTACTCAGCACCAGGATTGAAGTCTGTTTCGCTCCTTTCCATCTTGCATTCCGTGGCTTAAACATATAATTGTTGTGAAGTTCGCATACACCTTCATCGGTATTACTATTGTATCAAGACATAGGTACTTTTCTCTTTGGTTCCCCGTTATTTACTGTTACACGATGATTGGGGTCGTGGTGTTGCAGAATAGGTTTTACTGACTATGAGATTAAAACACTGGTGCTATGGCTATGGTACGTTGTCCCTCTGTCCGTTGAATGTGGTACGTGGTCCGGATAAAGAGTTGAAGCACGATCAATGTCTTGTTAAAAAATCTCTGTTTTCTCAGACACAAGCACGAGACTCAGTGGACATTAGCATTCATGTTTGTTTTAAAACGTATGGTAACGTGACGCCTGTCCAAGCAATGAATCCGCTATTAATACATCAACATAATTGGGCCACTCACCAGCGATACATTCACAGTCGAATCCCCCAAGTTTGGGTTTGCAGGTGGCACCATTCAGACAGGGGTTAGATCTGCAGTAGTCGATCTCAGACTCGCACCCGTCCCCGGTATAGCCTGCAAATACAGAGCGAATACTTTGAATACGTGAAATACTTTTTTATGCATTCACGTTCTTAAAACTTCTAAATTGCCTATCAAAGACGTCAAGGACAGGACTGTAATACTTATGTTGGTGAGGTTCAGTTAGGGGCAAGGTCAATATTGATCAACCGATATGGCCTTTGGAAGAGCGGCATGTTTAGTAAATGTAGGAGAAATGTTTCTAGCACTTGAAAACAATGGAACAGTTGTATGTATGTGTGTAGATACATCAATTCTGGCACATTTTGAGAAATCAGCGACTGTACATCTGAGCTGCTTGACAGGCACATGTGTCAGGGAACGGCGTATCGATGCTGTACATATTGCTCAAGAAGTAAAATTGCAGAGAACAGTACCTCAGTGCTATAGATGTTGTCCTAGGACTAATATTGCAGGGAATAATGTTTCAGTGCCACACATATTGTCCAGGGACTAATATTGCAGGGAATAGTGTTTCAGTGCCACATATATTGTCCAGGGACTAATATTGCAGGGAATAGTGTTTAAGTGCCACACATATTGTCCAAGGACTAATATTGCAGGAAATAGTGTTTCAGTGCCACACATATTGTCCAGGGACTAATATTGCAGGGAATAGTGTTTCAGTGCCACACATATTGTCCAGGGACTAATATTGCAGGGAATAGTGTTTCAGTGCCCCATATATTGTCCAGGGACTAATATTGCAGGGAATAGTGTTTCAGTGCCACACATATTGTCCAGGGACTAATATTGCAGGGAATAGTGTTTCAATGCCACAGATATTATCCAGGCACAAGTATTGCAGGAAACGTGTCTCAGGTCAACACATAGTCACACAAGACACATGTAAATATAGGTGAGATGTGGTGAGAAACAAGGACATGTGACCTAGGTATTTGAACTGAGAGGCATGTGTAAATCCTGGTGAGACGTAATGGATCTTACACGAAGGTTCAGTTGCTAACAAATGGGTAAAAAAAGCGAATCATATACTTGCTTCTGTCCCATGAAGACAGCATTTTCTGTGACTAAAGTCAACACGAGAACACATCAACCAATTGTGAACACCAGCTCATCCTTGTTAATAATTCTGAAGTGTTTCTGGGCCTACCTTTCGAATACAGTACCACAATTTTTTTTCAAACACGTGTTAATACACTATGACTTAATTTGTAGTATTTTGTTGCCAGTCACACCGGCGAAACAATGCCCTGTGACGTCAGGGGTCATCGAGTGTGCATAACCTCCTCCTAGTGATCTATCATCTCTACATGAAATGTCATTGAATACGCCAAGCGCTGTGGAGAGTTTTGAATATTTGTTTACTGAATATAGCCTGCGGCGGCGCATTTTATAGCAAGCGCTAGTTTACGAAAGCACTTTTATTTTTTATAAAAATTTTATTTCGTTTTTCTCGTAATTCAAGTGGCTAAAAGGGTTATAAATGGGAACTTATATACATATATTATTTTTTCGGTGCATACATTTTCATTATTGTGCACAAGAATGTAGTATATTGGCGCTGAACACATACAAATATCACTAGTGTTAGGGTAGGTTACCCCGAACTCTATCCTAAGCCCTTGGATCCCCTTTACGATCAATCACCCCTTTTTGATCATTAGGGTTAGGTACCCGTTTAGTGGCTTTTAGATTACCCGAACTCTGTCCTTAGCCCTAGGATCCCCTTTACGATCAATCACCCCTTTACGATCATATAGGGTTCGGTAAATCCACCTGTTTAGTTTCTATTATAGATTCTATAGCGGCTCCTAATATTCTTCACACAAAAACATCGAGTAAAAAGAATGAAATGGTTTTGTGTCGAATACTTTGGTTAGATTCTACTGAAAACTGTCCTGGAACATTCACACAAGCCACATTCACCGGCTACATTCTTTCAGTACTGATTCAAAAGCGAACTCACCGTTGTGTCGTCACTAGCCTTGCACATGCCTCCCTCGTTCCTTACTATTATCCACATCATCCTTACATTGTTCCCTACCACACTTTTCTGTCACAAAATCCACCCAACGAATTATTAAATAACACGTCATTCATGCGTACTCGCGAGTTCAACGTCTGACCTCTGACGCTTGGAGCCGTTTTCGTTTCGCGCCATATCGGATCATTCCTCGCCACTCGGTATCTTGTAGATTACGGAATGGGATGAGCGTGCCAAATGGCATCGGGATAATTTGTAAGTGTCGATAGGCTAAAGTCACGAGACACCATGCCTACTCGTAACCTTCGGGAGCACCTTTAGAATACAGTACCACAACTTCTCGTGAGGACGATCTCTGCCGTAGGTCACATGTCACAAGACAAGCAACCAGTTTTAGTGAGAATCCGTCGGACGCGAATCCGCGACCTTCGGATTGTTAGCCTGACAGCTAACCGACTGAGCTACGTCCACACTGTTAAACTTAGTGCAAATTTACCTTATCATGCCTATGACGTTACGGAACTGAACGAAAAGGGTCGAATAGGTGACGGACACTTACGAAGGTTACGGGTAGGCGTGGTGTCTCGTGACTTTAGTCTACGGACACTTACGAATGATCCCGATGCCATTTGGCACAGTCGTCCCATTCCGTAATCTACAAGATACCGAGTGGTGAGGAATGAGCCGATATGCCGCGAACTGAAAACGGCTCCAGGCGTCAGACGTCAGACGTCGAACTAGCGAGTGCGCATGAATGATATGGTATTTAATAATTCGTCGGGTGATTTTTGTGACAGAAAAGTGTGGTAGGGAACACTGTAAGGATGATGTGGATAATAGTAAGGAACGATGGAGGAATAAGCATGACTAGTGACGACACAACGGTGAGTTCGCTTTTGAATCAGTACTGAAAAATGTAGCCGGTGAAAGTGGCTTGTGTGAATGTTCCAGGACAGTTTCCAGTAGCCAAAATATTCGACACAAAACCATTTCATTCTTTTTACTCGACGTTTTTGTGGGAAGAATATAAGGAGCCGCTATATAATCTATAATAGCCACTAAACGAGTACCTAGCCCCTAACCCTAATGATCGTAAAGGGGTGATTGATCGTACAGGGGATCCAAGGGTTAAGGATAGACTTACGGTAATCTAATAGCCACTAAACGGGTTCCTAACCCTAATGACACTGGCGACATTTGGATGTGTTCAGCACCACTAAATATCCCTAACAAACTACATTATTGTGCATAATAATGAAAATTAATGCACCGAAAAATAATATATGTATATTAGTTCCCATTTATAACCCTTTTAGCCACTTGAATAACGAGAAAAACGAAATAAAAATTTTATAAAAAATAAATGTGCTTTCGTAAACTAGCGCTTGCTATAAAATACGCCGCCGCAGGCTATATTCAGTAAACAAATATTCAAAACTCTCCACAGCGCTTGGCGTATTCAATGACATTTCGTGTAGAGATGATAGATCACTAGGAGGAGGTTATGCACACTCGATGACCCCTGACGTCACAGGGCATTGTTTCGCCGGTGTGACTGGCAACAAAATACTACAAATTACGTCATAGGGTATGATCACGTGTTTGAAAAGTTTGTGGTACTGTATTCTAAAGGTAGGCCAACCTTCGTAAGGGTCCGTCACCTATTCGACCCTTTTCGTTCAGTTCCGTAACGTCGTAGGCATGACTAGGTTAATTTGCACTTTGTTTCACAGTGTGGACGTAGCTCAGTCGGATAGCTGTCGGGCTAACAATCCGAAGGTCGCGAGTTCGCGTCTGACGGATTCTCACAATAACTGGTTTGCTTGTCTTTGAGACATTTGACCTACGGCAGAGATCGTCCTCACGAGAAGTTGTGGTACTGTATTCTATACCTTTAGAATACAGTACCACAATTTCTTCAAACATGTGACAATACCCTATGACGTAATTATATGCTTAAGAGGGGACGACTCGTGTTTGGTTATCCAGCCTCTGTATAGCAGGTACATTCGTCTATGAAACATCAATAAACAACTTAATTTGTTTACAAGTACACCCGTATATGAAATATCCATAAACAACTCACTTCGTTTACAAGTACACCCGTCAATGAAACATCCATAAACAACTCACTTCGTTTACACGTACACCCGTCTATGAAATATTAATAAACAACTCACTTCGTTTACAAGTACACCCGTCTATGAAATATCCATAAACGACTCACTTCGTTTACAAGTACACCCGTCTATGAAATATTAATAAACCACTTAATGTGTATACAAGTACACCCGTCAATGAAACATGCATAAACAACTCACTTCGTTTACAAGTACACCCGTCAATGAAACATCAATAAACCACCTAATTTGTTTACAAGTACACCCGTCTATGAAATATCCATAAACAACTTAATTTGTTTACAAGTTCACCCGTCTATGAAACATCCATTAACAACTCACTTCGTTTACAAGTACACCCGTCTATGAAATATTAATAAACCACTTAATGTGTATACAAGTACACCCGTCAATGAAATATTAATAAACCACTTAATGTGTATACAAGTACACCCGTCAATGAAACATCCATAAACAACTCACTTCGTTTACAAGTACACCCGTCTATGAAATATCCATAAACAACTCACTTCGTTTACAGGAACACACGTCTATGAAACATCCATAAACAACTTAATTTGTTTACAAGTACACCCGTCTATGAAATATCCATAAACAACTCACTTCGTTTACAAGTACACCCGTCTATGAAACATCCATAAACAACTTAATTTGTTTACAAGTACACCCGTATATGAAATATCCATAAACAACTCACTTCGTTTACAAGTACACCCGTCTATGAAACATCCATAAACAACTCACTTCGTTTACAAGTACACCCGTCTATGAAATATTAATAAACAACTCACTTCGTTTACAAGTACACCCGTCTATGAAATATTAATAAACCACTTAATGTGTATACAAGTACACCCGTCAATGAAACATCCATAAACAACTCACTTCGTTTACAAGTACACCCGTCTATGAAATATCCATAAACAACTCACTTCGTTTACAAGTACACCCGTCTATGAAATATTAATAAACCACTTAATGTGTATACAAGTACACCCGTCTATGAAATATTAATAAACCACTTAATGTGTATACAAGTACACCCGTCAATGAAACATCGATAAACAACTCACTTCGTTTACAAGTACACCCGTCTATGAAATATCCATAAACAACTCACTTCGTTTACAAGTACACCCGTCTATGAAATACCCATAAACAACTCACTTCGTTTACAAGTACACCCGTCTATGAAATATCCATAAACAACTCACTTCGTTTACAAGTACACCCGTCTATGAAATATCCATAAACAACTCACTTCGTTTACAAGTACACCCGTCTATGAAATATCCATAAACAACTCACTTCGTTTACAAGTACACCCGTCTATGAAATATCCATAAACAACTCACCTTGATTACAGGAACACACGAGTCGGTGGTACATGTAGGAACAGCTTCCTGTGCCATTTTCAGAACAGACTCCAGAACACATCGTTGTATCTACAAGATAGACAAGTATATACCTTCAATACAAATATTCCCCAGGACGGGTAGGCAACGAAGCTTTGCGACTGTGAATTACGAGTATATCCCGCAGCAAACACATATCTAGTACAACCTGTAATAACATGTTAATCTACGGGAAGGTACACATTACGTACCTAGCATGTTAGATTGGATGAGCCTGGTAACAATAAGTAGACCCGTGAAGATCCGGGGAACATATCATCCATAATTCTATCAGAAAAATATTTGAAAGTTTACTGGGGCCTTTAATATTGTAACCGCCCCGTGAAGATCTGGGGTAGAATAGATCTTCAGCAACCCATGCTTGCCGGAAAAAGACGACTATGCTTGTCGAAAGAGGCGACAAACGGGATGGGGTGGTCAGGCTCGCTGACTTGGTTGATGCATGTCACCCTATCCCAATTGCATGGATGGATGCTCATGATGTCATTCACTGGATTGTCTGGTCCAGACTTGATTATTTACAGATCGCCGTCATATAGTTGGAACATTGTAACACGTCCCATTTTAATTCTGGAAACCCAAAAGTCCAGAAACTCTACGCTCTTTCCCCAGTCTCGGTTAAAGGTATTTACAAAATTAAACATTCCGTTTTCATGGGAACATACCAAGGAAGAAAAAATGAAAAAAAAATTGTTTAAAAACTCAATATTTAGATTATGTCGCCCATGGGCCTGCCCATGGGCGAAGTGTGGCCCATGGGCCTGCCCATGGGCGAAGTCTGGCCCATGGGTAGGCCCATGGGCAGGTCCATGGGCGAGAATATGTTCCTTTACTTAAAACTCATGTTTTTGTTTCGCAAATACATTTAATGTATTTATTGAAGTGTCATGACACAAAATTTAACTCATTTTAACTTAATTCAACTATTTTATAGCGATATTGAAATATTTCGCCCATGGGCGAGAAAAAGGTTTGGCCCATGGGCGAGAATATGTTCCTTTACTTAAAACTCATGATTTTGTTTCGCAAATACATTAAATGTATTTATTGAAGTATCATGACACAAAATTTAACTCATTTTAACTTAATTCAACGATTTTATAGCGATATTGAAATATTTCGCCCATGGGCGAGAAAAAGGTTTGGCCCATGGGTAGGCCCATGGGTAGGCCCATGGGCAGGCCCATGGGCAGGCCCATGTTCCTTTACTTAAAACTCATGATTTTGTTTCGCAAATACATTTAATGTATTTATTGAAGTATCATGACACAAAATTTAACTCATTTTAACTTAATTCAACGATTTTATAGCGATATTGAAATATTTCGCCCATGGGCGAGAAAAAGGTTTGGCCCATGGGCGAGAATATGTTCCTTTACTTAAAACTCATGATTTTGTTTCGCAAATACATTTAATGTATTTATTGAAGTATCATGACACAAAATTTAACTCATTTTAACTTAATTCAACTATTTTATAGCGATATTAAAATATTTCGCCCATGGGCGAGAAAAAGGTTTGGCCCATGGGTAGGCCCATGGGCAGGCCCATGGGCGAGAATATGTTCCTTTACTTAAAACTCATGATTTTGTTTCGCAAATACATTTAATGTATTTATTGAAGTATCATGACACAAAATTTAACTCATTTTAACTTAATTCAACGATTTTATAGCGATATTGAAATATTTCGCCCATGGGCGAGAAAAAGGTTTGGCCCATGGGCGAGAATATGTTCCTTTACTTAAAACTCATGATTTTGTTTCGCAAATACATTTAATGTATTTATTGAAGTATCATGACACAAAATTTAACTCATTTTAACTTAATTCAACGATTTTATAGCGATATTGAAATATTTCGCCCATGGGCGAGAAAAAGGTTTGCCCCATGGGCGAGAATATGTTCCTTTACTTAAAACTCAGGATTTTGTTTCGCAAATACATTAAATGTATTTATTGAAGTATCATGACACAAAATTTAACTCATTTTAACTTAATTGAACTATTTTATAGCGATATTGAAATATTTCGCCCATGGGCGAGAAAAAGGTTTGGCCCATGGGCAGGCCCATGGGCGAGAACATGTTCCTTTACTCAAAACTCATGTTTTTGTAGCGATCTTTAATGAACCCGGCCTTACCTCTCAAAACGTTTTGACAGTTTATCATACGAATTCATGTGCGTGTACTCCAATTCATTGGAGTTATTTTCCACAACATTAAATTTTAGTTAGTTTCTATTTCATTTCCCGTTTTTTATGTCCCGTTGATACATCACACTGGGCAATTACGTGACACTAGGTATGCAATATACAGGTACGCGTGCGCGTATTTTAATGAAAAAAACTATTCGTCTTTTATTGCATAACGTTTGGCTGAATATCTTACATTCTAACGAAATCTCGAAATAATTATTTAATTACAAGCAGTGTCGAACTGACCAGTAGGAATTATGTTTCAATGCGATTGAGGAAAACGTGAGTGAATATTGTGACACTAAAGCAACTTTTAACTGCATTGTCACTTTTGGTATGAAAATGGAAATAGTTAAGAAAAACGTAACAGCCTTCTTATGATAATTCTCATATTCTCATTAGTACGTTGTGTCTAATTACAGTGTCGGCCTTATTTACAGGTGATTCTACAATACTTGTTGTCAGTCAATTACAATCTGCCACACCACGCGTGAATAAACAGTTATGCAGGTGTTGCTGTGGGCAAATACCTAGCCTGTACATGTATATTTTTGTGGATACATGTATTACATATTTTCGTTGATATGTGGATATATTAAGCACCAAGACACAAAAAGTTTATGAAAGATGAATTTGTGCCTTGATATATATATTCAACGCGAACGATGCTTGTATTTTCTCCGCGATCCTGATGTGTATCATCGTTTAATTGGTCTTTCATTAAAAGTATGTTGTGAGGCGATATCAAAGGAGCCGCTCAATATACACAGTGTCGTCCGTTTCGCGTGAACTACCACCCTACCCTGTCAGTAAGAGTTATGTAATCGGTACACAAATATATTTGGTGCGATGTCAGTGTGGAAGGAGTTTGAATTACGTCCGCCAGTGGCCACAGAAAGTATAGTACCAATCAACAAGGCCAATGCCGTACTAATAACCTAGTGACTCTCGTAACAACGGCTGTCAATATGTCTGCTACATCTACCATACCATCATCCCTGTCACAACTGGCGTATTAACGGTTTATTCAACAAATTATTGTAGAAATGTCGTTACCAGACTAACGTACGTCGTATTCAGTCCTCAACTGGATGTCACATTCCTTATATCAGTTAACAGCCCTGTTTGTGAAAATATTTACTAGACATAAGATTTAAAGACTAATAAAATCAATTGTAAGACCGCATAGACCATAAAACGGAACAAAATATGTCTTGGTATCATCTCTTGTGTATTAGATGATGGCAATGACCGGAAATGTTATAACGTTAGATTAAGAAGGAGAAACATTAAAGTGTTTTACAATACTTGGAAACATGAGCAATAAGATGTAGCAACATAAACATGCATGGAATAGGGACAAAGGATGAAAACAAATTGAAAAGGATTTTAATACAAAATTAATCGAACTAAATAACTTGCCTGAACAGAAGGGGTACCCAAACTTGTTTGACAGTTATTCGTGTGTTGTAGACTGTCGAATGGGACTCATGTGTGTACGTAGCGTACGCATATCTATTGCAAGTTTTAGTACTCATACACTTTCTCTTTTTGTGTTTTGTTTGTTTGTTAGTTGTATAACGCCACACTTAGCAATATTTCAGCTGTATGACGGCGGTCTGTAAATAATCGGGTCTGGACCAGACAATCCAGTGATTGACATCATGTGCATCGATCCACGCAATTGGGATACGATGACATGCATCAACCAAGTCAGCGAGCCTGACCACCCGATCCCGGTAGTCGCTTCTTACGACAAGCGCTGTCGCCCTTTTACGCCAAGAATGGTTTGTTGAAGATCTTCACGGGTCTATTGAATGCAGGGATTTGTATAAAGTCATCAGACAGCATACAATGCCACCTAAAAATTATACTCAGTGTCTCCGCAAAGTAATATAGTACGGTACTTAGAGTACATGTGAGATTATACTCAGATTAGGGAGATGTTTAATCCATATAACGTGTTATTATTCTACCTAACAATGTATTTAATGAAATGAATGCAAAATAAACTCAACGGCTAAAAGGTTTCATTGAAAAAACTACCCCTAGTCTTGACTAATAAAACAACTGCAACCCGACACAGATTAAACGCAACTTACAAACACAATCATAATCTGGTTAGTCTGTATCACTCAACGAGGCCGCTTACTCTGCCCACAGTATGACAGTATTGGGCAGTTCAGTAATTAGGAGCCAAAACCAGACAGGTACGCTGGTCACACTTGACTGGTCTGACTGATGATTAGGTCGTCTGACAATTGGGAGTGAACCATAGCAAGAAGTATCTGCGAAACTATTTGCTCCTTTTATGGGACCGATTAGTTTTATGACCATGGGCCTCGGCACAAGCGTGGTGTTGGAAGACAAGTTATACATGTACATCCGATATGGTGACTGTTTTTCGCTATTCATATTCTAAATACATTCATAATACCACAACATTTTAGTACTCCTTGAAACTTTGCAATCACTTCAATATGTACAATAGATTGAACGAGAACACTTGATATATTGCAGATTATTAAATCATTGTCTCTATTATCAGCCGCTACGTCCGATCGTTTGCATTGTACAAAGAAATATTTTATCTGTCCTTTTGCAGATTTAGCCTCAGAATGTGCTCATTCGAATTAGGAACGAAAATAATTGCTTCTCGTGAGTATATATGATACAGTTAAAAGTTACTTGTACACTGTAGACGTATTAACTTTAAAGTCGCATACGACCTTCGCGAGCGAGTTGAATGATCCAGGTTAATTGGAACGAAGTCTAGAAAGGGTTATAAAGTTTTGTATTTGGTAATGTGTAGGTTTGTTAAATATGATTTTTTAA